TACAACTCTTTCGCGAACGCTCTCTCTGTTCTGGGACTAACTTCATCCCAGGCCCTCTCACCATACATCTTATCTGAGTACTTTAGTCACTCAAAATGGGTCTCTTCGGTCGTAAGAAGGAGACTGAGTCTCCTTCCGATATCGTCTCGCCCACCGCCGATGTCACCCCAACGGAGAAGAACGCTCCTCTCTCCCAAAACACTCCTCCGCCTCCCGGGTATGAGTCGAACAACATCTTCGGCGAAAAGTCGCCTGGTGTTGCGAGAATCGAGGCCCTCTCTGCCGCCATCACCACTACTGACCGCTACTTCATCTTCTTCGGCGTCTTCTTAGTCGCCTACGCCTACGGTCTCGATGGAACCCTCCGCTACGCCTACCAACCCACCGCCACGAGCAGCTACGCTACGCACTCCCTCTTGGCTACCGTTAACGTCCTTCGCTCCGTCATCGCCGCTGCTGCCCAGCCCACATCCGCCAAGATTGCCGATGTCTTTGGTCGTGTCGAGCTCATCTGCGTCTCCGTTGTTTTCTACGTCGTTGGTACCATCGTCGAGGCATGCGCCACCGAGGTTAAGGCCTTCGCCGCCGGTGCCGTTGTCTACCAGGTTGGCTACACCATGATCATGCTGCTTGTCGAGGTCATCATCGCCGATATTACCTCCACCCGCGCCCGTCTGCTGTTCAGTTACATTCCTGCGCTTCCCTTCATCATCAACACCTGGGTCAGCGGTAACATCTCCGCCCTGGTACTCGGCGAAAGCACCTGGCAGTGGGGTATCGGCATGTGGTGTATCATCTATCCTGTCTGTGCCCTCCCCCTCATCATCAGCCTGTCCATCGTCGGCCGCCGCGCTAGGAAGCAGGGACTGCTCGACTCCTACTCGTCTCCTTTCCGCATGCTCGGCCCCAAGAAGTTCCTCATTGAGCTGTTCTGGCAGCTCGATGTCATCGGTATCATCCTGGTTATCGCCATCTTCGCCCTGATTTTGGTTCCTCTTACCATTGCCGGTGGCTTCTCGACAACGTGGCGTGAGGCTCACGTCATCGCCCCCCTTGTAGTCGGTATCCTTTGCATCCCAGTCTTTGCTGTGTGGGAGATGAAGGCCAAGCATCCTCTTGTTCCCTTCATGTTGATGCGCGACCGTGGCATCCTGGCCCCTCTCGGTATTGCCTTGGGTCTCAACTGGGCTTGGTACATGCAGGGAGACTACCTCTACACCGTCTGCATTGTTGCTTTCGACTTCAGCATTGCGTCCGCTACCCGGATCACGTCGCTGTACTCCTTCTGCAGTGTCATCACTGGCTTCATCCTGGGCTTCATCGTCTTCAAGGTCCGCCGCCTCAAATACTTCATCATCGCTGGTACCATGCTCTTCATGGTCGCTTTCGGTCTGTTGATCCACTACCGTGGTTCCCCTACCTCCGCCGGACAAAGCGGTGTCATTGGTGCCCAGGTCCTTCTCGGTATCGCAGGTGGCATGTTCCCCTATCCTGCGCAAGCCTCGCTCCAGACCACTCTGAAGCACGAGCACCTCGCAATCATGACCGGTCTTTACCTCTCCACTTATAATATTGGATCTGCCTTCGGTAACACAGTATCTGGCGCTATTTGGACTCAGGTTCTGCCCTCCGTCCTCCAAGAGAACCTTGCACCCTTTGGCAATGACTCTCTGGCTACCGTTACCTACGCCCAGCCTTTTGTTGCTATCGCCGAGTACCCCGTTGGAACGCCCGAGCGCGCGGCCATCATCGACTCGTACCAGCACGTCCAGCGTCTTCTTACCATTACTGGTATCTGCTTGACGGTCCCTCTTATCGCGTTCGCCTTCCTCCTGAGGAACCCCAAGTTGAACGACCAGCAAACTCTTGCGGTTGACGACGTCCAGATCCGCCCTGCGGAGAACAATGACAACCTGCCCAGCAAGATCTAAGGGTCGACTTTGGATGTACCAAGACTGTTGATGTAATGATTTCACGTAACTGATTTATGGATATCCGAAATCCTGTACGAGGCACGATGAGTCGAGTCTCCATTTAGAGATTGTGGTTAGAGATACCATTCATACAAAGATATAGTCGTAATTTTATTTTATTTTCCCAATTCACAATCAACCTTGACACTGTCTGGATACGCCTGCGCCTATAAGCATCACTGCCACTTCTCTATCACGCAAATTATGCCAAGACTGACTTGACGTAGCAATTGCTTACTTGCATTGCGTCTGTGCCAGCCCCCGTCGATACCGTACTTTGAGCCCTTCCCCGCACGAAATAACCCGACTTAAATGCGATTGTTTCCTTCATAGTCATTTGAGAATCGATTTCAATTCGTTACCTCTTCAAAATAAAGCTAACACGCGCTTTTCCAGGCCTAAGCATCCCCGTCGTTCTTAGAAACTAGCTCACGCAGCACATTCCGATTGGTGTTCATGCGACTTTTCCCGGCTTGAGTCACTCCAATGCAACATCGTTTAGACTTCAGCTTACTGGCATATGCACGTACATGGCTTCCGCATCACGACAATGGCGAGATGGTTGCCATTTTCGTTGACGAGAAGCTCGTCTTTAAAGGTGTTCTCCGGTCCATTGCTTCTTCGTTGGCTCTTCTCTCTTGCTGTCGCTTCACCACCTCAATAAACCCGTTCAATCTTGACTTAGTCTTGCTGTCCAGATGCCCAGTGTTCTGATAACACCCATGAAGGCCATTCTGGCACTGCTAGCATGCAGCTCATCTACACTAGCACTACGGATTCCTCACCACGCGACAATTGCCTCGCGGAATGCTGTTGCTGCGACTGATTATGACTTTGTCATTGCCGGCGGAGGCGTCTCAGGTCTTACCGTTGCCGATCGGCTGACCGAGGACCCAAGCAGTAAGTAGAGACAGTGTCATACTTGATCTACCTCAGCTGTGAATCCTCCGCCTAATGCATGTAATGTAGTCAAAGTTCTGGTCATCGAGACCGGACCTTTCGATAAGGATGAAGATAGCGTCCTCGTCCCCGGTGCCTTCTTCCCTGTCCCGTATCTTTGGCCCAACTTGAACAGCGCGCCACAGTCTGCGTTGAACGACCGCATCTTCCCAGTGCCTGCCGGCCGAGTAGTCGGTGGCGGTTCGGTCGTCAACGGCATGGTCTTTGTGCGCGGTGGAAAGTCAGAGTATGCGGCCTGGGAGAAGCTGGGTGCCAAAGGTTGGGGATGGGATGATCTGTTGCCTTACTTTCGGAAGGCGAGTTCGATCTGAACATACAATCAGCATGGACCTGAGGATGCTAACCAACCTTTTGCCAGAGCGAGAACTTCACGACCCCGCCTAGGGACTTTGCTGATGCTGCCAACATCTCGTGGGTAGAGTCGGCTCACGGCCACAACGGACCTGTCCGTGCCTCGTATCCCAATTATTACTTCCCCGGTGCTGGTATGTAATTCAAAATAAGGGGAGCAGGATTCCAGCATGAGCACTTCCACTGATATCACCTAGAAAACTTCTGGCAAGCCGCTCTCCAAACCGGCCTCACTCCTTCCCCAGACCCCAATGGCGGCGACCGGGCTGTCGGTCTCTTCAACTTCCCCACGCTTGCCGACGCAACAACCCGGACCAGGAGCCACGCTCGGATCAACCATTACCAACGCGTCAAAGACTCTCATTCCAACTACCATATCTTGGCTGCACACACTGTATCCAGGGTCTTATTCAAGGGTAAGCGGGCTATTGGTCTCGAGTATCTACCTTCAACTGGCGGTGAGCGCCTCAAGGTCTATGCAAAGAAGGAGGTCCTTCTGGCTGCTGGGGCGCTTCATACACCCCAGATTCTACAGCTTTCCGGCATAGGATCAAAGAAGTTCTTGAAGACCTTTGGAATCGATACCGTTGCTGATCTGCCTGGGGTCGGCGAGAACTTTATGGATCAGGGTGAACTCAAGGTTCCCTTCACATGTCAGTACCATTCCGATTTCAGAGCGAGAGCACAGTAACTGAAAAGAACGGCACAGTTGAGAACAACATCTTCCCCAACTCTGGAGCCCTAGATACAAACGCAACATACGATGCCGAACAACGCGCCCTTTACAACGCCCAAAAGCAGGGAGCGTACACCATCGTCAGAACCCTGAGCACAAACCTAGCCGTACCGCCGCTAGCCAACACAACCTCATCCTGGCGCGACATCCTCGCCACTGCAAAGTCTCACGACCCCACCAAATTTCTTGCACCAGGTACTCCTTCGTCCGTTCAACAAGGCTACGAGAAGCAGCGAGAAATCGTTCTCGACCAGCTCGCAGGCCAAGATGTGCCCCTCGGCATGGTTCACTGGGGCACCGGCAACAGTATCACGCTCTACTTCCTCCGGGCGCTGAGCCGCGGGTCGGTGAAGATCGACTCCACGGACCCGCTGCAGCAACCCGTCATTGACTTTCGCACTGCTTCTGACCCCACTGACTTCGACCTCGCTGTGGCGCTATTTGAAAAGGGGAAGGAGATCATGTCTGCGCCGGCAATGAAGACTCTTGGGCCCAGGATGGCGGCGCCGTATGATACCGCTTCCAAGGAAGATATGAAGGTATTACTGGCTGCGAACATGTCACCTTCGAATGCCCATTCGTGTTGTACTGCGGCTATGATGCCCAAGGACAAAGGCGGTGTGGTGGATACGGAGATGCAGGTTTATGGGGTCAAGGGATTGAGGGTTATTGATGTTAGTTATTGGCCCATGGTGTTGACTGCTGCGCCGACGGCAACGACTTACGCCTCGGGAGAAAAGGTAAGACTGGCCTCTGAAGCGGTTTCACACGCGATTACTGACTTCATGGCAGATTGCGGATATGATCAAGAAAAAGTATGGTATCGCCTCACTCTGAATAGTAATGAGGGGGCTTCAATAGCAGTCTCGTATTTCAGATGATAATCCAGGTCATTGGATTAATTAGGTGAATCTTTTGAAGACTTGCTTGTTTCAAGCACAAAATACCATGTCTGCGTGCCGGCACGGATTAACTATATTCATTGCGCATGTGTACTGTCGTTCCATTCGATGCATTCTCAACTCGGTTGCTTTCGACTTCATTCCGGCTTTTGTGCGTAAACCACGTATCTGAGATATTGTCAGCTAGGCTTCGATCTTTCACTGAGGAGAAAGGTGGTTGCTTACACTGGCCACCATCCATGTATGGACCTGTCTCTCATGTCTTTCCTAGCATCCACCAAGAAGACCTCGAGCTGCTCCGCCGACCAACCTAGCGCCCTAGTAAAAAGAGCCAAGCTAAGTCCGGACAAGCCATTTCCGAGGTTTTCGTACGTCCACACGCCTTCAACGAGCGGTTCAGTCAGCATTTGGGTCCTCACGAATACGGCTTGAACGGGAAGCGCCTTTACCTAGCTCTTTGTACTTTGGATCCTTTGGCCAGGGATTCGACGGCCACTTGTAAATCTTTTCCTCGATATTGGTAAACCCCGCTTCTGCGAGCTGCTCCTTGTAGAATTTGCAGCTATCCAGCGGCCGTTTCCATATCGCTGCCGCTTCGAGCATGTGCCCTGCCCACTTTTGGGTCGCGCATTCGGGGCTGACTGTTCCGTCGTCGCTTTGAAGATCTAGGAGGATATCGGACAACTCTATCCAGCCTCCGGGTTCGAGGTTCCTGTTATACAATGTCAGGCAAGAAGGACGAGGCGAGTAGACTGTGTCTTAAAGCCCAGTGTGCAGCGAGTCAGAACTTACTCGTAGCTTTGGCGGATGAATCTCGGCCAGTCTGCTATGGAACCTGTGAGCATTCGGCCAAAGACGAAGTCGAATTTGTAGGAGTATGTCCAGTCATCTTCCAGGTCGTCGATGTAGAATGTGACGTTGGGAGGTACACTGGACATCAGTTAGTAATTCAGCGGGTCGAATCATTCTGATTTAAAGAATCGTTAGTCTGATGGTACTTACAATGGCGGTTGTATTGGGCTGAGATCAACACCAGTTATCTGCCAGTCTTCAGCTATCGCACTGATAAGGATTAGCGAGCTCTGGGCAAGCTTACCAGTGTCTCTTGATGATCGTCAGCTGCCAGAAATAGGGCATTAGCTATCTTGAGTCAATGACTTCGCGAACATGGCTATCTTACCAAAGTCCATTGCCCAAATTCCAGTTCCGGTTCCAGCATCCAATACTCTTTTCAAAGGCTTGTCTCGGCCAGCTGGCGAAACAAACAGCTTTCCATCAAAGGTAAGTGTGTATAAATGATGTTGAAGATCTATTACGCAGGCATGAGCACCTCTTTGATGAGACAGCAAAAACTATGTTACGTACCGAGCCTGTCGTTTTCGACCTGCGATTCCAGATAGAATACGCGTTAGTTCCCAATTGAGGTTGGGGTAGAGCGGTTAAGCTGCTAAAGACCACATACCGCGTCATTCGGCAAAACATATCCTAATCAAAAGTCCTTGTCAGTACAATAGAACCTGTGAGATTCTATCAAGATGAAGAGCTTTGGACCACTTACGGCCTTCTCGATATGCGTGGTATGTCCTTCCATTTTCTTCGCGGTAACGCATGATACTGCTTGTCATGGATGCAGATGACCCGAGCACAGACTGCAACACGGGTTAGTTTAACGCGTAACATTGCACCGCTAGACCGAGGTACCACTACTCACCACTCCCATGGCCGAGTCGCTGTCATCATTGGTATTGTCGTTCTCCTCTCCATTCTATCGAACAGGATCAGCATCAAGGTCGAGCGAATGCAAGCAGATACGTTGAGAGGTCGCCGAACTGACGTCTGCTTCGAGCGGGCCGGCTTCCGCCGGTACTGGATCCGCCATGTTTAAACCTGTCGGAGCCTCGGAGGGTCGAGGCTCAAGAAGAAACCGAACGATGAGACTCTTTTAATGGGGTGTCGATTCAAACTCAACGGGGATCAATCAACATGTGCAATTGAAGAAAAGTTGTGAAACACGAAAAAATGTGAAGGGCAGAAGAATCTCCAGAAAAACAAAAGCCCACAAGCTTCCTTAACGGCCAGATCGAAGATTAGGCACGGTTTAATTGGACGGTTGGGCTGTGCCTCTCGTAATGAACCAGCAGATGGCATCAAACGGTGCAGATCAGGAGATGCGACCTCACCGCTTGCCCCCTCTCTGCTTCTTTCTCCTCCTTCTGGCAATGCCCCCCGGGCAAAGCCGTGCCCGTTAAACGTCGCATCATACCCCCGCTAGACGCATCCGTTGGCATTGGTCATTGCCGATGCGATTGAGGAGGAGAAGAAGGATAGCAGGGCATTGCAAAACACGGCAACAATCTCATTGGATCGAAACCCCGTCACGCCGGCCCCTGCTCCGTGCGGGAAGGTTGCATTCCCGAGTCTGCCGTGTCAATCATCTAAGCCGCCTAAAGACTAGGGGGTCCAGACCCGTCGCAAGTGTAGACGCTATTGGGCAGAGACCCCGAACCGACGATGATATCGCCATGGGTCGTCCGCTCGTCAGAAACTTTGGTAACATTTCGGCGTCATGTTCGCTGCTATTGCATGCTATTGCAGAGCCATTGAAGGATTTGACCTGGTATCGATGCAGTCTCTCGGTCAAAATATTCCCCAGCTCCTCCCGGGCTCCCCGTGCCCTCCACCGTGCCGCGGCATCCTTGACCGAGAAGGCAGTTCGTCTCAGGATTTCTCAGACTTTCTTTTTTCCCCCTTCCCATGTGTGGCCCGAGACACTGTTTCCTCCTCTTACCCACACTCACAATCCCACGATCCAACCTTTTCATACACGAATCGGTTCTTCGTGGGCTCGAGTGCGACCATGAGTCGGGAATACCTCGCATACGCAGTCTCCGCCTTCATCGCGTACAGCGTCGTATCCATCGCTCGCCAATACCTACGGCTCCGGCACATCAAGGGGCCACCGAGCGCTGGATTCTCGAAATGGTGGCTCGTTCGCGCCGTCGGCGGCGGTAGGACGCACCTCGACTTTTATGAGGCGTGCGAGAAATATGGTGCGTTTTATACTTCAACCCCTTAGCCTGCGCTAAAGCGCTTGTGGAAAATAACCGTTTTCCATCTTTGCCGGATAGGGTCAATAGTTCGTGTCGGGCCGAATGATCTCATCACGAGCGATCCGGATCTCATGAAGCGTATGCTTAATGTGCGGACGACTTACAAGCGATCTAATTGGTATGATGGAATGCGACTCAAGCCTGGCCAAGACAATGTCTTATCCACCCGAGATGATGAGCTGCATAATAAACTCCGGTCAAAAATGGCCGCAGGTGTAAGCAATTGCATAAATGTTTGATGTATAAGAGAAAGGCACAGTGAACTAAGATGATAGATAGTACTCTGGTAAGGAAGTCGAAGATCTCGAAGCCAAAATTGATCAAAACGTCCTCCGACTCATCGGCCTGATTGAAAAGTATGCTTCTCGCGACGAAGCTTTTGACTTTGGAGCCAAGGCGCAATACTTCACCCTCGATGTCATCTCTGACCTGGCTTTCGGTGAGCCGTTTGGAGACTTGGCAACGGATTCGGATGTCCACGAGTACATCAAGACTATGGAGCAAAACATGCCAACGATTCTCGTGACGAGTGTTCTGCCATGGCTTCTCGCACTCCTCTCTTCGCCTATTTTCAGGAGCATGATGCCTTCCGAAAAAGATGCAATCGGCGTGGGAAAGACGATGGGGTAAGTTCAAGTTACATGCTCTTCCGCAAAACTTGCTGCCCATGCAGCAACCTTTACGTGTCGCCTCTGCTCACATTTGGCATTCTTCGCCGGGTCTAGCATTGCCAAGAAAGTTGCATCAGAACGTTTCGGTCCAAACAAGAAGGTGCAAAAAGATATGCTTGGATCATTCGTCGCACGAGGACTTACACAAGCTGAGGCCGAGTCAGAGATCCTGATGCAGCTGTAAGATCCAACACTCAGGCGGTGACCGTGGCAAATGCACTAACATTGAAAAGACTAGCTGGTTCTGATACTACCGCGACCGCGATTCGGGCTACTATCCTTCACATAATCACAAATCCTCAGGTAACCGCTACACTCCGAGCCGAAATCGATGCTGCCAAGCTGTCATGGCCCATCGTCTCCGATGCAGAGGCTCGCGAGATGCCATACTTGCAAGCCGTTATCAAGGAAGGTCTTCGCATATTTCCACCAGTAGTAGGCCAAATGTCAAAGGAAGTCTCTAATGGAGGCGCCGGTGATGACTTTAAGGGTGTTCATCTTCCAGAAGGCACCCGTATCGGATATTGTGCATGGGGAATCTTTCGCAGGCAGGATATCTGGGGTCAAGACTCCCACGTTTTCCGGCCGGAACGATGGCTAGAATCCGACGTTGAAAGGCTGCGCTTGATGGAGGGTACTCTAGAGCTTGTCTTCGGGTATGGTCGCTGGCAATGCTTGGGGCGAAACGTGGCTTTGATGGAGCTGAACAAGGTCTTCGTGGAGGTGAGTCATTCAAATTCTAGATCTTTCATACCCAATAATCTACGAAGCCGCATGCTGACAATTTTTCTTTTAAGCTTTTGAGGAGATTTGATCTCGTTGTTATCGATCCAACAAATCCGTGGCACTCAGTCTGCAGTGGTGTCTTCTTGCAGTCTCAATATTGGATGCGAGGATGCACTAGACTAAGAGCATAGAGATAACTTATCCTTTTAGTGTTTTGAAGCTCCGCGGTTTGACCTCCAGAGAGTCTGAAAAATCGGCTTACTACTTCGATTCAACTACTAATTCAGACTTATCAACTCTTACAGAATATTTACGTCCATGTTCTCAATGCGTTCGACTATCTAATATTTTTCTGCGGCTTCTGAAGCCTGTGGAATATGTGCATTCAAGGCCACTATCCCCAATTCAAAGTATCTACCGCTTGTGAAGCCCTCCTTTCCGATAGAATATCTTCCATCCGGCCTGAAAAAGTTGAGACGAATGCTAAGATCAAGGCGGTCTCGACTTTGATGTATCCGGAGAGGAAAGAATTAATTTGATCTCCACTACAACTCTCACACGTCTTGACCCTTCGGAGAACCTTTTGTAGGACACACTCATCAATTCATTAGGTCAAGTCAAATCCATGCTTCTTACACTGCGAAGGTCAGTGACTCAAGTTGGAAAGGGATCATCGACTACAAGCAAGATTGTTCTTGAATTACATTGCTTTTTTTCTAAAACGAGTTCTTTCTTATTATTTTTTCTCTCTTTCGGTCCCCGACATTCGTCGCGTACATTTGGGGTAGGAAACGGTAAACCTACCCGGGGACAACTAACTATCGAGGTAACAGGCCGAACCTCTTGAGTAACACTAAGCCATCACAAATGACATCAAACAACCCTTCTACCCGCCCCCGCCCGATTCCTGAACCCGACAACGCTCATACTAAGTACATCACCACTTGGGCTTCTTCGGGGATGGAGGGTCAGACTCCCTTGGGACTGTTGTCGATGGCTCCCGCTTTCCAACTTGAATCCAGACAGCTCCACGTTCTGACGGTCCAGCCCTGCCTCTATCACTTCCGCTCCCGTGAGCACTGCCGCCTCCTCGTGAGCTGCTTCCTTGTGAGCTACCTACGCGCGAGGCGCCTCCCGGAACACTGCCTCTTCCTCGTGAGCTGGTTCCACGAGAGCTACCGCGTCCCCGCGAGCTCCCACTTCCTCTGTTGTCGCGGTTGTTGGTCGAGCCCCTGGATCCGAATCCCCATCCTTCTCCACCTCCTCCTCTAGCCAAAGCATCGGCTATACCCAATTTTGGAGAAGATGGCGCTACAGACGAAGCTGGAGACCCCCGGACTAGTGACCTCCAATTCAAGACCATGACGTCGAACATGTGATCGCGGCTAGGGGCATCAGGGATACTTTGCGCCGGTCCCGATCCTCCGCTGCTGCCAGACCTTGGAAGTTCGGTTTCCGATAAGGGCGTTCCCAATCTTCTTGACACCTCTTCAAAGATTCGAGCCTCCATTTTGGAAAAGATTTTCTCTGGAAGCCATGGGGGTAGAGGGTGCTGAACCAATCCGAGTGATCACCAGGGCGGAGAATTCGCATCTTGCGGCTGGCCTCGGTCACTTCTACCATCATGTTGCAGCTGGGACAACATCTCTTCGAGACAGCCAGAACAGATGAGAGGTTGAGGAAATTCCCGAGCACCTGTGATTTGGGGAGGAGATGGCTTTCAAAGAGGGCCGATTCCGTGGATTCACGCACAAGACTCTGGTCCATCCGCTCAAACAATTCCGTCGCCAAGTGATGTAAAGATAGCACAATGGTCTCTGCGTGCCATGTTCCATTGTAAGTCAATTTATTTTTAGGTAGCCAGTCCTTTCTCTTGGGACCGTAGACGCGAGCCATCATGTTGTCCTCCATGGTCGACAATTCTTGCTCCGACCAATGATCGCCATTTGTCTTGGGGAACTTGCGGAAGAATTCTTTGAGACTGAGGACGCTAGAGTCTTGATACCATGGGGTCCTAATTCAGCCATGATCGTCCTCAAAGCATCCTGATATCGGCAGACGATGCCGATATAGGATTCCGCTGCCGGCACCCAGCCGCTTTCGAACCGTTCTCTTTCGACTGCGAGGGTCTCGGGATCGATGAGATCTCCAGGTTCATCCGGTCCCCTGAACTTCTCAGATGGGTGTTCATCGAGGCGAAGCTGGCTCATCTGTTCCTCGATCAACGTTGCTTGTGATGTGCTACCCGTTGAGGCATCGCGAGAGCCACGATCAGGTGTCGAAGGAAGCCCTTTTCCTTTCGCGTCCGCCGAGGATTTGGATTGAGCCATCATCTTCTGCCTTTCTGCCACCCAGCGATTGGATTGATTTCGATCGATGGTCAGGTGTTCCCCGAAAGTGACACCTTCGCCGGCACCAAGATACGCTCGAATAGCCCTAGGCTTGGCCTTCTTGCCCGATGCTGCCCGCTCGACGTGGTCTCGAAAGCTTTCCTTGTCCTTGAACACATGCTGGGTTTCGTCGGCCTTTGTTTGGCTGAGCCACACGAGATGCGATCGTAAGATGTCCCCGAAATGTAGCTTCAGCTGACTCAGAAGCAGCAGCACCATCTGAAGATTGCGTACATCTTTGCTCAGGGTGAGTACTCTGTCGTGGTAGGTGGGCGGCAGCATTCCTTCCTTGGCGAAGATTACTTTGAACACAGAGCACGATTTTCGGGTCTTCTCGGTGTAGGTTTCAAAGGCGCAGGAGAGCGTGGAGAAGACTTTTTGGAATTCCAGGCGGCCCAACTCGTCGTATCCGGCTGTCCTTCCCGATGATCCGAAGGTAGACCCTGGCAGAATGTTGAGATCACTGTCTTTCTACTCAGGGAGGTAGAACCGGCCAGACGAGAATTTCTCGTTGATGTCGATAGGGACTCCATCTCGCTCCCACACTCGTAATTGTTGATAGATTGCCTCCATAGTTCTGATCTGCATAGGAGAGTCAATTCTTCTGCGTCCGGCAGAAAGAACGTTCTGTTTCAGGTGCGTATCATGAAAGGGCAACCGGATGAAGTCCTAATTGATCTCAACGATCCTTGTCTTGAAGATGCTGCCAAAGTTCCTTTTCCCGAACCCGAACGCCCATCGATTGTTGATTTTTTTCAGACTTGTCAACGTAACGTAGTCGTGCAGTGTTACCATGGACTCTTCAACAGATTGATCGAGCTTTTGTGCCGCCGCCAAGTGAAGCCGCTCGAGCAGATGAAACACAGTTCTGCAGTGGACGTCGATGGTGAATGTTGAACGCCATTCGCGCCGTGTTGGCTCCTTGGGTAGAAGATGTTGCAGAGCAGCAGCTGGACCGAGCTCGCCTCCCAGCCATTCTGGCATGTCGACTAGAGGCGTCGCACGATCGAGGGTGACGTCCAAAGAAGGCCAATATGTCCTATCGTGACCGGTTATGATCCGATGGTGAGCCCAATCTGGATTGCTTGAGATTAGGATTTTCTTGAGATGAGGTTGCGTGGAAGGCACTTCAACCCAAGGCTTCGAACCCGGCCGGGCATAAGGGTTTACATCCTCACGCGGCTTCAAGGTGGTGTTGAAAGAACACACAGGGGTTAAAGAGATGATCTCAGAATCTCTGATGAGCAATGGGGTGAGATTTTGCAAGTAGATGAAGGTGTCGCAAGTCAACTTCACCTCATGTGGCGTCTGAGCTTGGGACGTCTGGAGCCGAGGCAGATCGTCTACATGTGAGTACGCGGAGTACTTTCCATGCTCATAGTTGATTGAACTTGTGTGCATTAGAAAGAGAGTTGCAGTTCGGTATGCCCGATGGCGTTGGCGAATCGCAAAGGCATTCTCGTGACCGACATAGCGCTTGTCGGGGTCGAGCACGGTGCCGCTTGAACCCTGCCCCTGGGGCATCTTGTCGTACTCGTCCTTGAATACAGGACTGAGAGAACACAGAGGGAGGGAACGACAAGGGAAGTTGATAATGAGATGACAAGATGGAAAGATAGTGATGTAGTGAGATGGTGAGAAGACACGACAATTCGTTGATCAAGATGATATGTGTGAGGGATTGTGGAAAAGTTGAGCTCACTTTCTGAGTGTGGATATCAGATCAGATTGATAGCTTGTAGATTCCTGGCATCAAGAGTTGGTGTGTCTGAGAGTAAAGTAGGAAAACTATTCCTCTTAATAACCTAGAATTTGTCTTCAGATTCTATGTTCCTGATCGCCTAGGCGTAAAGGTGTTTTCCTGATTTCTTCTACTTCTAGAAGGTCACGAATGCCCTTTCAGCCAAGTGGTTTGCTTGCAAAACATGTCGCCTTTCTACTGACTTCACCCAGCTTGCCTAACACAATCATCAAAGAAAGCTGCTTATCATTTGCTGCAATCAACGTATTGTGTGCTTAAAGGCGTTCTATGCCTTCTCTTTGTGAACCAAGTGTCCAGTTTTGCGAAAGCTGCTTCTAGGTTCTACTTAAACACTAAGAACACATACACCAATCTAGTACAAGCGAGCTTCCAAAGGTTTCTCATCCTTCATAACTTCAGTCGGCGGCAATCCATAGTTTTCAAAGTATTCCATCACGCGACAGTTAACATTGTCCTTTGTTGACGCTTTAGTGTGGTAGCTCGCCGATGGCAGCTTTGTGTGCATACTTACGTACCTTTGGTATCTCATTGAGCACTGCGACGGTGGAATCGCAAAAGGCCGTGATGATTCTAGAAGGTAGTAGTTTGCGACCAACTTCGTCCTGCAATGGATCAGGCCGCTCCTTTGCTCTATCAGCAAGAAAGTGTACGCTTCTATCATTGCGGAGACATCGGAATTTGTGGATTGCGCCAATGTGTGTTGGTAGGATCACATACAAATATTATCTTAGGGCCCAATTACCAAGGTTTATAGTTAAGTAGATTTTATTGTTTTTATTTGCCTCTATTCATTCGACCTCTTGTCTGCGGAGTTTGGTGCTCGCTTGATGGCAAGAAACAGTCCTTAGGTAGTCAAACGCATAACATCAATGGACCAAGCACCTCTCCCTTTACCCTGTTGCCGTGGATTAGAAGCAAGCCGCAGTCAGTCGGAGTTTTTCCGTCGATATTTTGGCGAACCAAATCTGCCCCTCTATCGATGAGTAGGTTCACAATCTCTTGCGTACGTCGTCTGGGCTCGTGGCTACTTTCCACGGGGGCATACATTGGGTGATGCTGATTGGCCGCCATGTAGTGTAGAGGAGTGTCGCCTTTTGAATCTTCTGTATTGGAATCGACTCCTACTTCTTTCAGGAGAAAGCGAACCACGCCGACGTCTCGATAGGCACAGGCTTGGTGTAGTGCATGGACCTTGTCTTTCTCGCGAGTAACCAGGGACGATCCGGCCTTGATCAAAGCCTTGACAATCTCGAGACGCGAGCCACTTGTGTCGTCGGCTAAAAAAGGCTTCATACCCAATGCGAGGTGTGTTGTGGAAGTTACCTCCCACAACGCGCGGTTCTCGCTGTCAAAACTGCCTCTCAAGGCGAAGAACAGCGGGTTGGCGCCCATTGGCAAAGGTAATGGTTCTTGGCTTTGGGCGGAGCTCCGATACATCGAGTTCAGGTATTCTGCCTTCGTCGCGCAGAACAAAGCTCGTTGAGGGTCTTCCATGTCGGTTTCATACTCCCTCAAGCAGCTTTCATGTTCCCACGGGTCGCGGGCGGAGTAGTGATAGAAGCCCAGGTCGGCTCTGTGTTGGACATCGGCGCCAGATTTGAGGAGATGATGTACCAGATCTTTGTATCCGTACAATGAAGCCCAATGCAGTGCGGTCAGGAATGTTTTCACCGGAAGTAACAAGCATTCGAATCGATGTTCCTCCATGATTTCCCTTTCTTCGATATGCATCAACGATTGATCAGTCTGATTGATATTGGCGCCGTGGCGAAGTGAAGCTGAAACACCGTCGAGGTTGTTTCTTTTGGCCGATAGTAGCAAGGAGGATGCGAAACGATGCTGAATGTCGTGTCTGAAGACTGCTGGGCTAACGATGTTGTAGAATCGCGTGCTAACTTTCGCTAAGTTGATGGCGTTCTGCACTCCCCAGCTGCGTCTACCCTCCGAGCTGGCGGCGGTCCAGACGTCGGAGCGTTCTTCGTCGCTCTCCAAATACCCAGAAATATCGTCATCGTTGAGCAGCATGTCAACCATGTTGAGGACCACTACATCAGGCATATACGCAAGTTGTGTGACTTCGGACACGGGTGAAGGCTGACTTGTGGCGTCTTTCGAGGCATTGTCCATAATGTTGAGATGAGCTCGTCGGTATGATAAGGCTGTCCCGAGTAAACTGTGCTGGAGTGTTCTGTTCTAGGTGGGTTGTGCTGAAGGTAAGGTAGGTTGTTTGAAAATTGATGTTGCCCAGCGCAAATGGTGGGAGATGTGGAAGAGCAATGATTGTGATTCATTTTCTCAGAGGTGAGGATGGGCTCCTTATATAATTAGTCAATAAGACCCAATCAGTGGAATAAGCGGTACCTTGGTGGCTGGTGACTTTACTTTGAGCAAAGTTGGGACTATCCGTGGTCCGGATCAAAAGTCTTATCTTTTATCCATATTGGTATAGTTACACATGCTTTGAAAAGTCTTTCCTTTTCATTCTATAGAGGTGCAAAGACCCAAAGGTGAGGTGAACTTTGAGCACCCATGGTCACCCTACATTAGGAATACCCTTCAAGAAAGGTGTGTATTACTTGGTAGCCCTCACAAACGCAGGAACCTTTTCATTCAAATTCCCAGAGTCATACGGAAATGAAGCCACCGTTCTCACATATTCGTAGAGCACTAGCGCTCAAGCAAGATTGCTGCTGTGTACTTAATTAATGTATGTGTATAGCTACCGACATTGGAGTTGATTTCTTGAGCCCCATTGACGTTCATGCGTATCATTACAAGGAAACACATGATTGGGACTGAGGTGACTCACTCCGGGCAATTCACATAGGACAGGAATCTTCCAAACCGACGAATTCAAGCTTCCTCAAAAGGCTTCTGAGCCACCACATTATGGCTACGCACCCTGTTAGCTGCAAGGCCCATAAACCAAAATTTCCAACCGGACTTACATGTCAAACTGAGCATGGAAGGTGTGAACCGCCTTCAGTTCCTTCCGTACCTGGGCAAGCAGGACCTCGGCCTGAACCTTGGTCCAGCCCAGCACGCCACAAAACGCCCTCATGGAGAATCCGTCAAGGCCTTCCAGAATTTGGGTCAAGTTGACGAGCCCCAACTCTCGGTAATGCGGATCCTTTGGCCAAGGGCCGATGGGAAGGATGAACTTTCTGTGAGTGATGTTCTGGAAATTACCGGCTTCGCGGACCCATCCCTCAAGCTGGGGACCTGGACGGGCCTCGCGGCCCATGGAAGCGATGGTGTCCATGAGCATATCATTCCATTTGAAGGTGGCGTGGTCTTGCTTGAGAGTGCCGTCTGGCGAGTAGTATTTGCCGCTCATGTCTGAGAACTCTGCCCAACCTCCAGGGTTGAGGTTATCGTAGACATTCTTGATCAGTTTTGGGTAGTCGGCTATCGAGCCGATCATGTAGCGGCAAAAGATAAAGTCGTACTTCCGATCGCCGATCCAGTCGCTCTCGACGTCGTCGATTTCAAACTTGACGTTTGGAGGAACCCTGCACATACGGAGATAAGCTTGTAATCATGGGCTTCGTTCCCCTTTTGAATTGGCGGAACCCACCATTCTGGCTGGATAGCACTCAGATCGTTTCCATAAACCTAAGAATGCCTGGTTCAGCTTCTATGAGATGCTCAACAACGACAGTTTTGTATACCTCCGCATTGGGAAAGAGGTCACCCATCTCCATGGCCCCTGAAATATTGTTAATGTCATCCTAGTTGGGTCGGGAGACTGGACCGAGTTCGTCAGCGACTCACAAATACCGGTGCCAGTTCCGATGTCAAGGATTCTGTTGACTTTTTCTTTCTCAATCGGCGCCAAGTACAGCTTGTATCCCAGCATCCTCAGTGTAAGGTCGTGTGTCATATCAAGGCGGTCCATCTCAGTCTGCAAAAGTTAGCTCTTACTGGCGGGTGTAAGGTGTGCGCAAAGGCAAAATCGCTCACGTCGTCATTGGGCAAATAGTACGCTGGTAGTCAGACACCAGGCCGTTAGCCGTCCACTCACACGTGCTAGATGAATCCGTGGTAAGAGTGCTGCTTACATCCAGGCCGGAAAGCATGGTAGCGACGACCAAACTCAACGGGATAGTCTACAGCGCTTGATGCCAGTGAAGCCGTGTACGAGGAACTGTTCAGACCTGGTCAGTCTGCGTAACTCAGGCATAGACACATGAAGCTTATGAACAATACATTTGGTCGTCAATGGAGGCGCCATCATCAGTTTCCTAGGATGTCTCGTCAGCATATTTTGTCCTTTCTGAGCTCTCCTAGGTGACGAACACTGGCTGGCTCCTCTGCTTCTAGAGCATCCTTCGCTTCAATCGTGGCTTGAGGGTTGCTCGGTGAGCTACCCCGCGAGCTCTTGGGTGGGCTCCGAGATGAGGCCATTGTCGCGGGTTCCGCGGCCGGCACCGGTGGTGAGGTTGCGACAGGAGGCGAGGCCGGCTGGGCCTCTGGCGTGTTGACCATCTTTTAATCACAAAATCAGGCGACCAAAACCTGGCCACTGAAATCAAATTTGGGTACGTTTCGCGAGGACTGATGAAGAAAGAGAGAAGAAAGAAAGAAAGAGAGGAGGGGGGAAACAATCCTTACCAACCAACGCAGCAAACGGAGAGGGTGGTGGGCGTGCAGCAAAAGACATGGATAAAGGAACCGCTGTTGGCGCAAGCTGTTGGAGCAGGTTCTGCTGTTGCGATCCAATCACAATTGACTCGGTTGACGAGGGTGCTGTTACCGAGAACAGAGTGGTGATCCTTTCGTCTTCGAATCTCGCGTTTTTCGGCGTAAGAAGAAAAGCTCTGAAACTGGGCAAGATACTTACTATAGGTATCGTCAGAATCGAGAACCAGTTTTGCTTCGAGTTTAGCAAGTTTAGCAGGCAGCCAGTCACATACAGCTATGCCATAAGTTACATTTGACGATTTAACTGCGTGTTGGGATCTCACCTTTATTTAAGCGAACCAAATGTTTGTTTTACAAATCTTTATTTGTGTGGTGGGAGATACGCCTGGCATCAACACCTGAAGCCAAGAGCTCTTTCACCCCATCCACCATATTTATACAATTGTCTAGTTATCAAACATCGTACACATGCCCAAAGCCACCTTCTTGGGAGTTGTCTTGCTTCTTTGTGTTTTAAACGCCGCCCTTGGGACCAACAGAGAAACGCCCCCCTTTTTATACAATCATCAACGCCATCGCGGATGCAATCAATCAGAATATGCAATCAACATCTCCCCAACAAAATGTCCTCTTCATGCATGACGAGCATGTCTCGCTTCCGCTCTGATGCAAAGACCAGAGATGCAATCATGAGAAGAAGTACTCACTCTCTTTGAGTCTCTGAACGTCGAAGTCGCCCTTCTCGGGAATCGGGGGGAAGGTCAAAGGAAGCCAGACCTGGATGGTCTTAGGACGTGAGGTCGACTTCCCGGGCTTAGCGAGTAAATGTTGCTTGAAGTGCGATTCTTCCATGTTCTTCAGCATTTTTGTGGCGAATCGGGAGCTGGCTCCGCTGAGAAGCTCCTCATCGACGGCATGAGATGTCTCGGCATCGTTGGCTTCATCACCAGCACCTGACTCCATCTTGATGTCGGTCTCGTCCGCATCCTCCGAAATCTCACCAAGGCCGATTGCCTTCAAGTCCTCGCCCTTCACCAGGGCTTCGGTAGCCGCCATCTCTTCAAAGATGCTAGCGGGTGTCACCATCTCCTTGGCTTCCGCAATCAGCTCGGGATTCCCGGAGCGGAGGAGCGTCTGTCTTTTGTGCTCAGCTAGGAGCTCATCCTTGAACGACACCTTCTTCTTCTTTCTCAGCGCCGCAATCTTCTTCTCGACATCGGTTCCGACATTGATCTTTGCCATGTAGATAGAGCCACGGTAACGAGCCTCAAACTCGGCAGCGAGACGGCCAACAACATCCTCCTCGTGAATTCTGACGAAGGCGTCACGGAGAACACGGTTCATGGTGTTGACGTCAGCGGCGTGGGTCCAGAAGGAGTCATGAACAGCAGCAAAGTCCAGTCCAAGCTCAGAGCACTCCAGCGCGGACAGCAGCATGTGCGTTGCGTCGAGAGAGTGAATGAAATTGGGAGGGAATGCTTGCAGCTGCTTCTTGCGGTGTACGGGATCGGAGCGCTCGGGAATTGTGAGGGAGAGGTCCTGGAGCGACGTCTTTATGATTCGGGTTCCACTCTTGCGGTACGGCTGGGCGATGGGCATGCGTAGCGGTGTGGTCCAGACAATAGTGGCGCGGAATTGTGCCAGGAGTTCGTCAGTGGAAGTCCTGTTCTCGACAGCCTTGGTCTTGGATAGCACAGGCACGATTCCATCATTAGCGATCCGCTCCAATTGCTCGGCGGACAAAGCCCTGCAGACCCGGCCGCCAATCTCACCGAGCCAGTACTGAATATCGTGAGCGCCGCGGAACATGGACGACAGAGCCTTGAAGACGAGAGTAGCCACATAAGATGCAGTAACGATGTTCTCGAAGCCGCACTCCTTCGGCAAGTTGGGGTACAGCGAATCAAGCTGCTTACAGACCTGCTTCTTGGCACCAGCAAATGTGACGCCGTAAACGTTGGTCATGACGGTCTGCTTGACCACCTTTCTCGTGATCTTTCCGTCCATGGCCTTGGCGAAAGGGTTGCCTCCCTCCGCGTCCTTGGCGATGTGATCTTTGACAATATTGGCAACAGCAGAGTAGACGTCAGCAGGCTTGTCGCCGGGTACGAGATTGACCTGGCGAGCACCCCAAATGTCACCACCGAGGGCGGCATAGTGCTGAAGACCGTTACAGGTGCCGTCCTGGTGCACCGGAAGGCTAGAGACGTATCTCTCTGGTTCCGGGGATTCAAGCGCTGCCTTGAGCTCGAAACAAGCTGCAAGACATTGCCAAGGGTCCTCGGCCTTGAGCCACCAGCGGTTGCCATTGAGAGGGTTGGTGGCTGAGTCTATGACATTGGCCAAGTTGTCCATAGTGAATGCTGCTCTGTCGTTGAGACTGGCCTTGTCGAAACCGAACACGTTAGACAAGTGAACCTTGAGCCACTTTAGACCCTGCTCGCCGAGCTCCTTGCCCTTCGCAAAGCGAAGAATGCCACGGACGTGGTCGGCACCCATATGGTTGAGGTATGTCGGTAGTGGGTAGGCACGACCCCGGAAGTCAATGTTGTGAGGGAAGTAAAAAGTCTGGTTCCTGAAAGCACGGGCGATTTCCAGCTGGAAGTTCATGAAGCAGCGAACGGAATGCAAGCCACCTCTCTCGTTCTCGGCGGCCTTGACGGCTCTGATCCAGAGAATGCGTTCAGAGGGGTCTTCAGAGGGCGCAGGCTCGGGCGGCGTAGGTATATCGGGGTTCAACGCCGGGATGTTTGCCAGTTCCTCGCCACTGTTCCAAACATCGAGCATAACGCTGAGAACCGAATTGTTAATCCGCCAAGCGGTCCTACCCAGAACATCCAACCCTTTGAACACTTGGTCCATATCTCCGCGGGCGATAGCTGCTTCGCTGTACAGCCTCTGGTCCTTGTCACCCTGCTTGATACGAACAAGACTCGCTTTGCTTTCCAGAAAGCCGCCCTTGTCGAAGGCCTGCCACGGCTCCGGCTCCACAACCATAGGTAGATGTTTAGCCAGGAAGTCGCCCTGAGGTTCTCGCTTCATGATGTTGACGAGCTCCTTGTTGAGCAAAATCATACCGATCTTCTTGCCCCTCCTGAGCTGCGTAGCGTGAGAGAACGCGGGCTGGAACTGGCTGACGAGGGTCTTCGTTTCGGGATGTTCCCTCACGACTTTGATCTTGGCGGTCTCGATGAGAGCAGACATTAGGGCCGCGCCGACCTTGGCCTTCACCGCAGGAGGCCAAGCCGCATCAGCTAGCACAGCGTCCCTGGCTTGTTCGTCACTGAACAATTCATTACTGGCCACCTCTTTTGATGAACTTTTGTCTGTAACCTCCGCAGTTTTGGCCATGACGACCTTTCTGCTCTTGTCGGCCTTTTTAACCTTCTGGCTCGCAAGTTGACTTCGAATATCCTCCTCGGTGAGTTTTGCGAGGCCGCTAATGGCGGTAGCAAGACCCATGCCACGGTCAACACCGGTGATGGCAGTAGAACTCAAGGTGCTGAGAATGGTAACAGCGGCCAGACGACTAGGCGTAGAAAGTCTGAAGAAAGGACCGTACACGCATCGGTCATAGTCTTCAGGCGTCTTCTTCGCCACGGCCTCGGACTTCTCGATTTTGACCATTTCCTCCTTAAGCCGCGCCTCCAGTGCAAGTTGCCAGTCGTACAAGCGGGAGTTGAGTGACGCATGTGCTACCGAAGTATTGAGACCCATCTTTTGCAGAGATTCGTTCTCTTCGCGCCATCGCTCTACGGCTGCGTCAACACAGTCGCGCTCGAGACGAGCCTGGATCTCCCTTCGTTCGCGAAGGGGAAGTGTGGAGATGTCGCATTCTTGAGGGATTTCGTCGAAAAGGCTCAGAGTCTGCTTTAAACTCTTCAGTCCGAATCCTTTCTGAGGTGTGGCCATGACTTCCGGCATAGGCTTTGCAGAAGCGGACCCCAAAGCTTCGCTTTCTTCAGCGGCAATGTGCTCATCATTGGCTTCAGCGGCTGAAGTATCTTCTTCAGGCGCGAGATTGTATATCGGGCAAATTTCCGTAATGACTGCGAGGTCTTGATCGCTAAGGATCTCGGCCATCGATAAGACTTGCAAGCCCGCCTCGCCGGGTGCCAGTCTCATGTAGCGAGTAACCAGCCGGTGACGCCTGTTGGCGTCGCGTTCGGAGATAAGAGAGGCCTTGAGCATGCAAGCGATAGTCTCGGCAGTTTGGGGGAGGCCTCTGGTGTTGATGTGCAACTCGTACCACTTGTGAAGGCTCTCGGCTTGTTTCCGGTCGGGATGGAGGCGCAGCTGCTCGAGAGAGGCTCGGATGAATCGGTTATGCAGGAAAATCAAGTCTTCGCCAGGGAAGCTTGGGACAGCAGCCAGGCGCTTGAGGACCATTTGTGCCCGATCGACTTTGCCGACGCGGATGCAGGCATCGAATATCGGCAACAATTCGTCCACATCGCCAGGAACGCCGAAATTGTTTATTTTCCCCCGAGGTTGTTGCGGTGCGTTGCTCTCTTGGAGAACCAGTGGCGAGGCGGGATCGAAGGCGCGCAACTCGTGATATCTCGGGCGAGCTGAGACGTTCTGGTATGCTGACAGGACAGAACTGTCTAGTCTGTCGTAGTTGGAGCTCGCGATGGATTGGTGGTCGTCTACGGCGGTGGCAAGATTGCGCCCGCCGCTGAGGCTACCTCTTCTCGCTGTGGGCCGTCCATCATTTTGTGTGCCGAAAAGACGTCTGCTTCTGTCGCTCGCGTTTATTGTCGTCAATGGATATCTTGGCGTCGGTCGAGAGGGTCGGAAGACGGTTGCATGGTGGAGGGAAAGACTTCTCCGGCTGTTCCTGAGGAGCATCTTGAAAGCTCACGCGACGAAAGGACAGACCGGGGTAAGTGACGTCGTTTCAACAACAGGGAATCTGTTGAAGATCTAGGAAAGGTATCGGTGCATTAAGTATAAAGGAGTATGAAAAGAACGTGACTATATTACAAAGTACAGAGAATGGACCTAATGCGTTGCGATGCTGAGGCGCATACACAGTAAGGCGGATGCAACAGATTTTGGGTGGAGGGAGAAGTTTTTGGGGGAGAGGCGGACGGGAGCTTGTCGATAGGAGGCGCGAGCTATCAAAATTTTGCCGTCCTTTTTTTCCTGGCCTTTGACTCGGGCAATCGGGGGTCGTCCCACTCCATCCGCCGGGGTGGAATGACCAACGTCGTTGGATGGAATTTTCTGTCCACTCAAAAAGGGGACGATGGGGCAAAGAGCCAATCAAATTGTCCATTGATTCTTGAGCTTTTGATTCGTCAGTAAGACCCCCTCAGCACGTGCAGGTACCGCATCTGTTAGGTAAGCATATTTTGAGGTACGCAGACGCGGCAGGCGCGCATCTCATACCTACCTGAAGAGATGGGAGGCAAGAACAATCGTGCCTGCCCATACCCAAAGTGCGAAATTACAGATTACTTGATAAGTCCTTTGACTAAAACTTGAATTTGATTGTGGTAAGTCGTGAATCAACTGCTGAATTTATCGAATCGAGATACCCTGGGTCTTGGTCCACGCCGTTGAGAGTACCTTGAGGTACCTTCAACCAAAGTTCGGGGCTCAGGAAGCGACGGGCCGGATTTGTGGGGCACTTTACTGGTTGATTAGGTAATATGTCAAAAATCACTGTCGCGCTCGCAAGCCACGGTCCAAGATTAGGAGGACGAGAATTTTGGCCTCCAACACTTTTCTTGTCGACAGGAAGCTCACAGGTTCAACCACAATTTCCGAGGAGTGCAGCAAGCTAACGCGAAGATGGCCTCCCGACCTGCGTTTGCAGCTTTGGGCTGTCTCCATTGTCGCAACACTGTGTTACGAGCCGTTACTTCCAGCTCAGCTACCTTTCTTCGAGCTCCCGCCATCACAACTACCGCAAGCCTGCGACCTCGGAAACTGCAAAGAGCTTTCTCGAGCCTGCCCGAGGCACCCAAGACACCAGGCGAAGTTCCCGCCCATGCATCCGAAGCTGAATCAAAGCTCGAGGAGCGCATTGACGACCAACTTGTCAGCGAAAAAGAAGAAACACCATGGTTCCTCGAGGTCGAGGCGCCTATACACCCACCGAAAGAAGACGTGTCACCTCTACCCGAACTGCCGAGCAACCCACCTGCTATCCTCGAGCCTCTATTGAAATATGTCTACGAAGAAATGGGACTCGATGACCTTTCTCTCCTCGACCTGCGCGCCCTCGACCCGCCACCTGCTCTGGGACCCAACCTTCTCATGCTCTTTGCAACGTCGCGAAGCGAGCGGCACTTGCACGTCTCGGCTTCCCGGCTAGTGAAGTGGCTCCGTTTTCACCACAAGATCGAGGCAAACGCGGATGGACTGATTGGCCCGGGCGAACTCAAGACAAAGCTACGAAGGATGAGGAGGAAGGCAAAGCTACTTGGCTCAAGCGCCATGGTTGCAAAGGGCGGCGACGATGGAATCTCGACTGGATGGATCTGCGTCAACCTCGGTACCAGCGGATCCACCTACAGTGAGGGCGAACGCTTCGATTCACAAGGCAAGATGTCTGGCTTTGGTGGACCAGCCACTGGATCAACCATTGTTGTCCAGGTCATGACCGAGTCTCGGCGTAACGAACTAGACCTCGAACGGCTATGGAGCCAGCAGCTCGTACGAAGCGAAGCTCAAGAACGTAAACTGGCCGACGAAGACTCTTCCTATCACAACCGATACGGTGATCTGCCGACGACCACGATCCGAGCGCGGAAACCCAACTACGCAAACACGCCGCAGAGGAGAAACTTCTCCACAAGTCTCTCTCGGCCTTCGACAGACACCGAGCAGGCGGCTGTGGGCGCAAAAGACGCAGGTATTACTCCTTCAGCAACTTCGAGCCCTGTCACAGATCCGCTGAACAAATATCGCCAGCGAATTGAGAAAATACGGTCGGAGGGAGAGCAAGTGAAGGCCGAGGACTGTCTGGATCTCTTGAGGGGCATTTTTCAGGCGCCTACAGCGAAGGAGGATCAGGGCCAAGACCAGGCTGACCTCGCCACCAAGGTCATTGAGACGATGCACCAACGGCAAATGCCAGTCATGGACCACGAAATGCTCACGACAATTATTGAGGCGATCGCAACATCACCTGCGCGAGGCGGACCTGAGCAAGGAAAGTTGCGTGGCATTCAAAGTAACTTGGAGTTTGTGATGCTCAAGGGCATGCAATCTTGTCCCTCGGAAGCGCAACTCGTACGTCTTCTCAGAGCATACGCCATTCAGCGGAACATGGATCAATTTTGGGAGGTTTGGAGTCTTCCCCCACGATACAGCGAACGCAGAGGGTCAGCATTATACCGGGAAGTGTTTCACATCTTTGCGCGCATCAACAGGAGGTCTCTGAGCATCGACGCCCTCCGGAGATGTGTACCCGAGATGGTTCTTGAGCAGCCCCCAGTGCTGCCAGACGAGACGATCTGGCCCGACATCAAGGCTTGCATCCGTGTCGCCGATCCTAATGCGGAACATATTAGCGCCCACATGGTATCCGGCAGTAAAGTGGCCAGCGATGGCAAGAAGACTGTCGAGTTGGAGTTTGTCAAGATGTTTAAGGAGCTCGAGGCGTTGCGAAGGAACGCTTGAGACCTTTCACGTGGAAGCTGGAATCGATTTCCAACCTAAGGTTTAAGCTCCGAAGCGGAATCCGTCGACGGAACGGGTGACGGCAGGGAAATGGTCCTTGGCGAGATAGGGCGCCTGCAAAGAAGGGCGTCTTTGGTCCGAAGGCGGAACTCGGCGCTCACCGATGTTGACCGATTGTGATATCAACTCAGCAATGAAGCTGCGGAAGACGCGGCAGAGATGGAGGCTTCACTTCGACATGTACAACCCTCTCAACACAAAAACAAACTACAAATGTACCATACTGTAATAAAAACAACGCCAACTACGGATAGCCGGCCATGTTACAAAATATCTCACTCGTCTTAAAAGACCTGAATGAATGGGTGATGCGACACTGCAACTCGCCTCCTCTGGCGTTGGTGACGATGAAATTCTTTTCAGCCCGAGCTCTAATCCCAGACCTTCCTATTCGGGAAGTGCTCCGTCTTATCTCTGGGTGAGCCCGGCAGGATTGCGGGGGAGGATCGGAGTCTACCTTATTATCATTTGACATTGACACAATTTTTTTTTGGATTTCCCACCTTCACCTCGGCACTAATGCAGGTGTAATCCAACTTCAATGCGCCAGCGTTTCCGCCTCAACTTGTTGGAGAGAAGCATCTGAACAATCAGCCGAGTCGCGGTAACACAGGTGCGTAATGAGGAGACGGCATTCGTCGGTCAACCTGCGTTCGTCTGAACATGCAGGTTGTATCCCGGCCCCTGGTCCATCACACGCAGACATTTCCCACTCCCTGACTCTCCGCCCTCTCTCTTTCGCGCCCGGATATCGGCATAGCATGGCAATGTGTGATTGCAAAGCTGTGCAACTCGGATCTTGTTGACCAATGAGCGTCTGGGAAACGCCCTCCGCAGTCTGGATCGACGCTCCAGGTTAACCTTAGCCCGGTACTTATGTGAAGCTCGCGATGCCCGAACAAGCAGGAGGACCAACAAGATGGGGGTCCTGATCTGCCAAATGCTGCATCACCAACCCAGCCTCCAAGGCCTGCTTCCCGCGCCTCGCCTGTCTTGCCGTGCCAACATACAGCCTATCTCCCTCCCTTTACCGCCTCCATGGAACATACATCGATCATGGAAGTGGACTAATGCGCGCCGGTCTTGGCCACACGTGGGCCGGAAGGGACCTCGAGTCTCCAGAATGCTACATATAACCCGCACCGCTCCCTCACCGTGACATTCTTCTCCTCTCTTCCCGCTCGCCAAGGACACCTCTCCCGCCCTTCATATCCATCCTCCTTGTCCTCCTCCTCCTTCTCTCCTCATTTCCTCCCTGTTGTCGTAAGGCAGTAATAGCACAGAAGCCATGGCTCGCCTCACCCCCCTCACCCTCTTGGCAGCCGCCGCCCTCCCCAAGGCCGCTCTCGCCTGGGGCTCCATGGGCCACGCGACAATCGCCTACATTGCCACAAACTTCGTCGCCCCCGAGACCAAGACCTACTTCCAGCAGCTCCTGGCCGACACCACGGACGACTACCTCGCCAACGTCGCCAGCTGGGCCGACTCGTACCGCTACACCACCGAGGGCGCCTTCACCTCCACCTTCCACTACATCGACGCCCTCGACGACCCCCCGCACTCGTGCGGCATCGACCTCGACCGCGACTGCGGCCCCACGGGCTGCATCGTCTCCGCCCACGCAAACTACACCAACCGCCTGCTCCAGCAGCCCGCCCTGTCCCTCGAGCAGCGCCAGATCGCCGCCAAGATGGTGATTCACTTCACCGGCGACATTGGCCAGCCCCTCCACTGCGAGAACCTCGAGCTCGGCGGCAACGGTATTGCTGTCGAGTTCAACGGGTCCAGCACGAACCTGCACGCCGCGTGGGACACCAACATCCCGCAGTCCATCACGGGCACGGGCAGCAGCGTGCTGGCCGTCGCCAAGTCGTGGGCCTCGAAGCTCAGCACCGAGATTAGCTCTGGCGACTTCAAGACGGCGTCAAAGTGCTGGATCGGCGGGCTGAGCCTCGAGGACCCGGAGTCGCAGGCGCTCGCGTGGGCGACGGAGAGTAACAAGTTTGTGTGCTCTGTTGTTCTGCCGGATGGTCGTGAGGCTGTGGAGGGTAAGGATATTAGTGGCGCGTACACGACCAATGCGCAGCCTACTGTTAGCATGCAGGTCGCCAAGCAGGGTTACAGGTAAGCTCCGTCCCTTGTTCTTTTGCTTGTTAGATGAAGTTGGGAAATTGACGTTGTATAGACTTGCAAAGTGGCTGGATGCCATTGTTGCCCAGCTGGCTTAAATGAAGCACAGATCGGAATAAGATGAGGTACTTTTGGATATACCAAGGATGTGGCAAAAGCCAATGAAACTAGAGATGATGAATGATGATGTAGCGGCTCCGGACCACAAAAGATAATCCATAATATGATGATGGTCACTGGTCTGTTTTGAGACCACAAAATGAGCTTCGTGTCCTGGAAAAGGCAGTGATTGTGACTTATGTCAGCTTTTTTTTTTAGTTGGATCTTGAGCTATAAAGCAGCAACTGGAGGCTTCACTGCTGTTCGACGCTGTGATCAGCTCTATCGAAACCCTCCAGGTGTCCACGCTTGGTTTCGATGAAAGGAACAAGTTGATGAATCTTCAAATGAATAGTGCCATTGTCTACAGCACTCAGCTGCTGGCCATCCATCACCAGTCTATTTCGCCTTTTGAAGTGGATGGGAATTGCCTGTCTGCACCCCAGCGTGACGTGTCCCAAGCTAATGCAGTCCACCGAATGATGACTCCATGCTTCATGTTCGAGTATAACACTACCTGACGTATCTTCATCTCAAAGCTTGGTACCGCCCTTGATCGTCTGCCGTAGCATGGGCGCAACCTGCTTGCGAGAGCTGGACAGACTCTTCTGGTGCCAGGCCATCCTCCACTCCCCTTCACCAACCTTATCGAGTCTGCCCTCGTCCCAGCTCTCCAGGCCCAAGTCGTCCTTGTATGCTTGATAAAACTTCTTGCAGTATTCGACAGCGTTCTCGTTGAAGGCCCACAAGAGAAGCTCTCTCTGAAACTTTCCACCGGGATGTGAAGTTGTCATGATGACCCCAACATCCATCTGCTTCTCCTTAGCCCACTCCTTGAACTCGCCCAGCAGGACATTATCATCGCCGCCAGCCTTGTCGAGTAGATAATCCAGGTTTTGGACAATGGCCGACACACCCATGACCTGATGGGGGCTGCCCGCTTCAAAACCTTCGCCAACATCCTCCCACTGCTTGTAATCCTTTCGGAATACGTCGCGGAATCCCAGCGAGGATATGTCTTCCTTAACGGCGGATATCTCTTCAAAGAACACGTCGCGTCCGCTCGTAAACCGTGCAAGAAAGGAAACTGCGCTCGTGTCCTTTTCAGTCGTCTTATCCTTGGACTTGAGGTTCGTGGTATCAATCAGGATTGCTGCGAGCGACAGCCTGGCGAGGTGCTCGTCCACATCGCTAGCTCCGTTCTCCGACTTTGCAAGGTCCTCCCATGCTGAACGACAGTACTCCACCACCAGGCTCGCGCAGCTTCCGCACTTTTCGACGACGCGGGGCTCGTCGCCCGTGTCTTGGGGAACCTTGTGATCATCCGCATGGTGGTCTACGCAGCCGACGACACTGCTGCTGTACTTCTTGGCGAGGTCTCCCGTTAGGGCATTGTGATCGACGAGAACCCATCTGGAATCCTTCGCCGCGAGGTCTCGCGGTATATCGTCCAGGCTGAGTAGGTCGCTCGGCTTAAGCTTGGCATGCGCCAGGGCAGCCGTCATCTCGGGACGGAGCTTGAGGTCATCGCGGGGTAGATTCGAGATGGGGATATGGAGCGTGTGAGGGGCAGCATGGCTGCGGAGGTAGGCGTATACGACGGCAGAGCAGAGAGAGTCAAGGTCTAATTATTGCGTGCGGATAATAGAATCATTAGTTTGTTTACACACGAATAGAGAAATGCCAAGCCTCGGGTGTCTCTCGTACCTGCAGATTCGTTGCCGACGACCAACGTCAAGGGACTGGCCCGTTGCGGAGCTGTCAGAGCCGATCTCGCGTTGGCGAGGAAAGCGCCGAGGGAGACCCTTGGAGGCATTGAAACAGAGGAGCTATAACAGGTAAGTGTATTAGAACAAGGCTTCGAGCGTTGGTTGTATTAACGCATGGGGAACTGCATATGCAGGTTGCCGCGGGGAGTATCAAGAGGCGCGGTCCTCGCAGCTTGGAGCTGTTGGTGGTAGTGGTGGGGATGACGTCGGAACGTTGCACAGCGTAAAGTCCCTTCAGCTAAGGTACGCAGTAAGTCTGGGGAACTGGCGGTCCAATTGACTTTTGTGGATTTCAACGGTGCTACGTCTTATCGCTATCTTATCCATAGCGCGGTCCCTTATCGCTGCAAGCCCCCCGCTATCGGATCGCGGGGCACTCAGGTACAAAGGTACGTTGGGGGGTGGCCACGCCTTTCACTTGACTCAACCGCGACCCGCGAGAACCCCACCATCGCCGCGGGACCGCGGTCGGGGCGCCGGCATCTGGACAGCCACCACCTGTCACTTGCTTCCGTGCTTTGTTCTCACGATTCCTTCATCTTCTGCTTTGTCCCCCGGCTTCATTATCTTTCATCGTAAATAACAACACAGTCTCATTCTGCAATAAGAACTTGATTCTCATCCTCGCAACGTCTTCAGCCTTGTCTTGTACATATACTGATTCAATCAAACTCGACCAATATGGGCTCTCAACCACCCCGCATCCGCCTGGCCATCCTCGAGGCCGATACACCGCAGCCGCAGACCAACGCCGAGTACGGCGGATATGGCGGTGTCTTCACGGCACTCCTGCGCACCGCCGCCTTGGCCAGCGACCCGCCTGCGCCGCTCGACAGCATCGTCGACCTTTCAGTATACCACGCCGTCGGCGATGATGCCGTCTACCCAGACCTAGACTCCATCGACGCCATTCTAATTTCCGGAAGCAAGCACAACTCATTCGATAACGACCCGTGGATCTTGAAGTTGGTCGAGTTCACCAAGAAGTGCATCGACAGCGGGCGGGTGAGAGTCATTGGAGTATGCTTCGGCCACCAGATCGTCGGACGGTCACTAGGTGTCGAGGTGAAGAGGAGCGATCTCGGCTGGGAGGTTGCCGTTGTGGATGTCAACCTCACGCCCAAGGGCAAGGAGATTTTCCAGCTGGAGAAGATGGTAAGCTTTCATTCCAGACCTTCCGTACCTCGACTTGGCGCGAGTGAAGGCAGCGTTTTTTCCGTGTACAAGTACTCACATGTCACAGCGCATCCACCAAATGCACCGCGATGTCGTAACAGAAAACCCAGCGGGCGCCGAGTCTTTGGCATACACGGAGCTGTGCCCCGTCCAGGGATTCTACTCACCAAAGAAGTTCATCACTGTCCAGGGTCACCCCGAGTTCACCGGCCCCATCGTCAGTGAGATCCTCAACGTTCGCCACAAGGCTGGCATTTTTGACGAGGCGATGTTTACCGATGCCATCAACCGCGCAAACATTGAGCACGATGGCGTCAACATCGCTCGTGGCTTCCTGCGCTTCCTTAGAGAATGATACATCGTTGTTCATAGTTATTTACCCCAATAGACCAGCGACTGTTTTTGGATACCAATCTTACTGCCTTAACCTGCCATTTGACTCACGCCACACAGAAACCCTTTTAAGTGTGCTCGGAGCTCCCACACTTTTGATTCCTTAGCCCAAGAGGAATGCAACATCGCGATTGCCTCTGTTAGTTAAGGAATGCCGTAGATTTCATTTCAGAGTCGCGAACTACTTACTTTTCCCTTGCATCCTTCCCTCTTTCCTTGGATACCGTCTACAAATAGCTGCCTCATTCAGGTGGTCCATCGTTGAACCCTCCTTCCTTGGCAGACTGAGCTTTGTCCAAGATTGAGGTCCTGTAGAATGTCATATCGTCTCGATGCTTACCTTCTTCAACCTCTCCACGTCACCGCCAACCTTGAGAACCAGACCCTTTTCCTCCAACATCTTGGGCTTCCCAAATTCATCTCGCAGCACTTGACACAATTTTTATTACCCTTTTCACTTTTCTCGAGATTTTTTCATCAAAACGCACTTTAAATGCAAGGACTCATTGGGCAGTTTTGAGCCAGTGCGGGCGCACCTTCCCAGCTACACGACTGTCGGAGCACCTGACTGCTCCCTCGGTCTGCTTTCTCTTCTCTCTCCCACACACGTACACTTCTACTTCCTCTCACACGCACTCCTTTTCTTCCTCCCTCTACCCATCTGACTTACTTACCTTGGAGGCGTGGGTAGCTACTATCTACCTTGACTATTAGGTGACGAGACGCCCTTAGCGAGTGCCAATCTCTTCTCATTGATCAACTCTACCTCATCGTTCATCAGCTTGATTTACTTTATCGTCACTCAATCACGAGTCGAGGCCAAACTTCATACCCCCAAGTCTCGGATACATCTTGCACTTGCGGCACTCCGAGGTTCTTCATCATGAGCTGCGACGAATCTAGCCATGTAGAGGTAAACAGCGCCAACCGCCAGAGGCAACCTTTCCTACTTGACGACGACGACAAGGATGGCGATAGTGGTTCGGAGAAAGGCGGATTCCGCCCAACAATTGATCTGCAAGCAGAACACAACATTTTCGACGAGTCCATAGAGGACATGATCAAGGAAAGTCGGCGAGACGTTCATGACGGTGGTAGGGCTGCAACTCTATCATATCATGGCAACGATGAGCTGGATGGTCTTTTTTGTTCTAGCGACGAGCAGGTTCCAAACGTTGAGCGTTCTCATGACGCTGTACCCATCAAGTCAGAGGAGTCTGACGATGATTCTGGTTTGATGATCATCAATCAGGGCGAAGCATCATCAAAGGCGCGCGAGAGATGGTCCAAGCCACGAGGCACACGGAGTACCGATCTCACCTCACCGCCGAGAGTCAAGCAAGAGCCAGCCGCTGACACTCGTCTAAATCCTATGCTTGAAGCCACTGGGCGAGAACCCGCAACGGAAGTTTCAGTCCTTGGAATCACCTCTTCCCAAAATGAAGAGTCTGCTACCAAGGGATTAGAGGAAAGACAGGCAGAGTTACACTCGAAAGCGCTGAACGGTGCGATCACCATGGAAGAAATATCGGAAATGTACCTGGTCAGCTCGAAGCTCAGCCAAATTCAAGAAGCAGCCAAGACTGAAAGCAAACCGCCAAAGGTGGCACCATCTCTAGCCAGCAATGTGGATGAGAGAACGGCTGGAGAAAGTAAGAAGAAAGCAAAGAGAAAGTCACATGCTCCAATCAAAACCCGTGAAGAATTCTGGCGCCACGAAGGAAAGGTACGCCTAGACCGCGAGAAGAAAGACGACTACCGCAAAGCGAAGGGAAAGAAGAGATTGGGAGTATGCCAAGGAACGTCACGCGACGTCAAACGGATGAAGAAGTCAGACCAAACCTTGGAAGACGCGGGAGAAGAGGGTGTGAACACAGGAATTCAACTTCAAATCAACACGATACTACGTACAGTCGACGCGATCCAGGAGCGAGCGGATGCAGGTAAGCTGCCTGATGCGCCAGTCATCATCGCGACCACAAGAGCCGAGCAACTGAAACAGTTGAGGGATGCGGCACCAGATTATTTTGAACCAGACCTTTTGAGAGACCAGGCAAGGCAACTTCTCCAGTCGACAAAGGGTCTTGGTCCACGTGCTGTCCGCGCCAAAAACGGCCTTTGGAACGTCAAGGGTATGCTGTCTGATATGCATAATCACCAACTCGTTGTTGGAGCTTGGATGAGGAGCCGTGAGCTAAACACAGTACCCAAAATGCCGAAGGGAGGGATTCTTGCAGATTCAATGGGGCTAGGAAAGACAATCGAGACTTTGTCATGCATTGTGAGAAATCAAGCATCGGAGAAACTTCGAGACGAGGGGAAAGGACCAACACTGGTAGTTGTCCCGTCGGGGCAGACGATCACCCAATGGATGGATGAAGTCAGGACGCACTGCAATAGGAAGTTCGCCAGGCACATCATCCATTTTAAAGAGAAAGACAAGATGGATGTTGATCCGCTGGCTTTCTTCAATATTGTGTAAGTTATGGAACAACAAACTTGAGCTCGAAAGCTGATGGGCAGATCCAGGTTCGCTAGCTATCATCAGCTGAGACGTAGCATTCCTTGCGTCGAGACAATGGAACAGAAGCGGAGGGAGATTGCTGACCCTGAAAAGTACAAGAAGTGGCTGGCGGAGGCAACCGGCGTCTTGCATCGAATCGAGTGGCATCGGGTAGTACTTGATGAAGCTCACGCCATCAAGAACCACCAAACACACTGTAAGCATCATCTCGGTAGTGAGCGCTGGATACAGGAAGAGTATTGGCTAATTGAAACCTCAATATCTGCAGCTGCGTATGCGAGCTTCCGGCTGAAGGCCAAGTACCGGTGGGCGGTGACTGGAACGCCGCTCATCAACGCAGCTTCTGGTGAGTCATCAAGACGTCTAGACATCATGACAGGATATTTCTCACGTTTTCACAGAGTTTTTCTCCTACTTGAAGTTCATCAGATGCCATGGAATCCAGAAGTTCCGGGACTTTGAACGCAAGTTTCGCGCAGGAGTGAGTATCATTTTGCATCAAACATTGGAGAAGTAAATAATATTTACTCTGATCAGACACCGACTAGAAAGAAGTACGACAAACTCATCGACGATGTCATGATGAGAAGGTAAAAGTCACAAATAAATCATAGGAGTCTTCTCGCTAACACATTCTGTCAGAACTCAGGGCGAATATTTCCTCGGTCAACCGATTCTGAACCTGCCAACGACTAAGCCTACCCACCAATATCTCAAACTTTCGAAGGAAGAGATGGTGATATTCAAGTGAGTCCAGGCAGCTCTCTCATGCACTTTATAGCTTCTTACAGGAAACAGGATGATGGAGGGATGCTTTCGTCGAAAAATCAACCGTGACATCGAGCAGGGGACCGCCGCTAACCAGATGAGATCTTATCTGGTAATGCTACTTCGTTTACGCCAAGCATCGACTCATCCATTTCTACTAGAAGGCATGATGGCGGAGTATTTCACTTCGAATGATTTCCAGTCCATCAAAGAAAAGTTAAAGAACCTCGAAAATGGCAACACAGTCTATAACCAGATTGGTTCTTGGACTCAGAGGCAGCGGATTGGTGACCGTAGTCTCATTGAAGAACCAAGCCTGCTGAATAATCCGCAGCTTCTAAATGGCACCGAAGAACTACTTGACATACATAGCACCCAAACTGATGAGTCAGTCCACGTCAAAGCTACGAATCAGGGCCATTCTCAGCTCAATGGCGGCGAGGGCGCTGTTGAGATAGTTGATGACACTGACGAGGTCGACAGCCAAGATGAGATTGAAGAAGATGAGGATGGTCTGGTCCCGGAGCGCTACCTTTCGCAAAGAACACAGCCGGGATATGCAGCAGGCATGGATGTCAACACGGAGGATTCACAGCTTCAGCCTTTTGGTCAAAGCGACTTTGGTCTTGCATTCGACATGTCCAAACAGATACAGTACCTCGAAAAGGTCTTGGAAATAAAAAGATCCAAATGCGTTAGTTGCCACCAAATATCGCCTTCGAATTCTGTCAAGGGCAGCAAAGTAAGTCATCAAATCATTCCAGCAAATGTATCCATTCTTTTTTGGAAATTAAAACCCTGCGTACCTAGCTAACATTATTTACAGTGCGGCTGCGTTTTCTGCTCCAATTGCGTGGTAGTTCACCTCGCAAGCAAGGTATGTGCCATTCAAACCACCGCATTATTGAACAACGCTGACTTGAGGTGTTCTTAGGGTAGGAAATGTCCCAGATGTCGCAGATTTATTGGCTATCCGAATCCACTGAAGCCTTTCGACAACGAGGAGGGTGGAAATGCGGGATCTACCACGCAGACCCTCACTGACAAGGAGTACGCAAAGGGGTTCGACTACACCGGATTCCAGCACACAGAAGATGACAAGGACGACAAGCATGCAGTCAGATTCTTGCAAGTGGCAGACAGGCATCCACATTTGCCACTTACCCCCAGTGCCAAGTTGACGGCTTTGAAGGAGACAGTACTGAGATGGCAGGCCGAAGCCCCAGATGATAAAATAATCAGTCAGTCCCTTGCTGCATTATCCCGCCTCGTGTGTCATTCATCACTGACTCGAATTCTTTTAGTCTTCAGCCAATTCAATGTCGTCATGAAACTCATTGGCCGGCTGCTCGAAGCTGAAGGAATCGACTTTGCATACCTCAGCGGCAAGCAAAACACCGAGCAACGCAACAGGGCCGTAGATGAGTTCCAGAACGGCGACAAGATCAAGGTTCTCATTGTGTCGCTTCGAGCAGGCGGCCAGTGCCTGAATCTCACAAAAGCAAACCGTGTCATTCTCATGGAGCTTTGGTGGAACCAAGCCGTGGAGCAGCAAGCCTTTGCTCGCGTGTACCGCATCGGCCAAATCAAGGAGACGCATTTTGTGCGCTTTAGCGTGGATACGCCTATAGAGCAGCGTATGCTTCAGATGCAAGCCAGCAAGATACTTGCCATCAATACGGCTCTTCAAGATGACAAGATCAGAGCGCCAAAGATCAGCCTGGAGGACATTGGCACTCTTCTCGGCAAAGTCACCTTCAGAGACGGAGTCATTCACCGCATCTCAGCCGACTATGATGATTACAACGATGATTACGACGATGATGATGACAGCAGTGATGATAGCAGTGAGAGTAGCAGTGAAGAAGAGGGTAATCTTGAGGGATTCGTTGTCTCCGATGACGAGGAGGAAGCTATGGATTCGCTTTCTGACGAGTCGGAAGAGGAGTGAAGCTCTACAACCGAAAATATCCGCATACTTGGACCGGAATCAGAGCTTGGAGTTGCCCCCAGGCAAAAGGCGCGACATGATGCAAGCAGCATCTCGTTTTCTTTTCTTTTTTTTTTACGACACACGTTTCTGATTTCTGCAACTTGCCTCCTTGAACGCACCACCAGAAGGTGCTACGAATCCTAGAAACATATCCAGCCAAATCTGGGCATTCTGGGACACCGAGATTTTACGAAGTAGGGAAATTGGTCTATTCTGGCAAGGCGATGGAATCTTACGCACCAAAGATGGGAAAGGAGTGCGCTTGGAAAGGACAGCTTTTGCCATTTATAGAGGCAACGAGAGCTTTTCATGGGAAATCGAGAAGTCAGAAGGGCGGCTAGGGAAAATATCCCCAACACCAAGCTCGGGAGATTTGGAGAATATCTTCAGCCATCGTCTCACAATGCACATAACACATAGACTGCTTTTCAAAATAGACTTCTCGTATTCAATCCTATTCAATCCTTCGCCAGTTCCTCAAGTCGAACACTCTTATCAAAACTTGGCGTTTTCTTGCGCCGACATATGCAGCCTTGGTGGACGTCTCACCACTGTCGCAAGTATGTCGGCATCATTGCATGCTTCGGCCCTTAGCTCTTACGGCGCTAGTGGGGCCGAAGGACCGAACTTGCCGCGATGCAGGCCACCTGCGCCGGAGTTTGTGGATCCGCATCCCCGGTGCTGCCGACAAATGAACCTCCCATTGAGGATCACAGCATTGATTGACCAGAGTATGATGGGAATTGATTAAATATTGATGAGACGTGGTAATGATATTTGTTCATACAATTCATGTGGTATCAAGGCGAAAAAATGACTACGCTAATGATGTTCTCCTCCCTACCCGTTGCCGGGCTTCATCTTTATCCCGCCGTAATTTTGACGGCGTCCTCCGATGTCTGGCTTGCGTGTCGATCCACGGCTTCTCTACGGCACAAAATAGACATGCGTTAACAAGACCCTGTATTGACAGGCTCACTAGCGATAAAAGCACAACCACGAAAGGGCCAGCTTGCTCTGGGTTGTCCCAGCGCATAACGTGGGCGACAAAAGGAACGGCCCAAATGAGTATGTATACAAGTGGATAAACAAAAAGTAGTCGCAGTTGACGACGAATCTTGTCGCGAGTTTTTGCCATTCCCGTGCCATCAATGGTAGGATGGTAAAGAAAGGGAGTGTTGTTGTGGTCTGTATCAGAGTCGAGGGAGGTGGAGGTGCCTCGACGGAGGATTGACCAGATGTTGGCGAGCGACTTGGCTCGAGCACTTGTTGGGCTGTTGGGTGGTTGCCACTGAGTGCTGAAGCTCCCGTGATTATAATAAGCCTGGGGCGGGTTCACGTCGACCGTATCGCGGCGCATGTAGCTTTGCGGAGGAGGAGAAATAGGCTCGAAGTTGGTGGAGAGTGGACTTGTGCTGGCCTCGAACGCACGGGGGAGACACTGTCATTGGGTTCCGGTATGCGACCATCATCCTCGTTTCCATAGCTCGGCCAGTTCCATTGAATCTTCTGACGGCTATGGAGAAGCTCGATCTCGGCGGTCATAGTAGCATTTGTGGAAGAGGTGCGTTGCTGATCCGAGTCTTCCGTCGAGGTTTCCGACCCGCGGCGTGACGTTGGAGTGGCTGGCACCGATGGAATGTGGGCCCACTGTCCATCGTCTAACATATGTGTCGCACTCGCACGTCGCATGGCACTGAGCCGACCGAAACGCCGCATGCGAAGAGTAACATAGATATAGATGTAGGCGTAAAGCGCAACAATAGTGAGCAAGATCATGTAGCGGGGAACCCAGCTCAGAGCGAGTCTTGCCCATTCGGGGCGGGCGGGTAGGTAGCAGTACTCCCCGTTGTTGACGTAACCTGGCCAGTTGATAAACGCCAATGAAGCCATCAAAAGTGGAAAGAATGCAAAAGCGCTGAAGGCAAGACGACGGTGGGGATACAATCCACTCTGGCGCCCGGAATGCCGCGGTCGGAAGATGTAAATGGCCGTGTGCAAAGCGATGAGCACAACAGCAATGTCCGATGCCTCTATGCCGACTGCGAGGAAGAAGCCGCTGGCTTGGCAGAATGATGAGCTCGAGGCAACTGGGCCGCTCTTGAAGTCCACGATTGGGAATATGATGAACCACAACGATTTGAGCATGTCACTCGACATGAGCAGCATAATGAGACTGTCAATATGTCAGCAAAACGCCCATTTTCCGTCTTGGTGCAGACAGCCTTGTCCAGTGAAGGCAATGTATCCCCGAGTAACCGTTACTCACTCATGTCTGAAGCTTCGTCTCCTCCGAGAAAACCAGTAAAAGGCGAAAGTCACAGATGCAAAACTCAATGCAGCGGCGGCAAGCGATGTCGATTGAATGATCGTCCACTGATGACCGGTCAACCCATCGGGGATGCGGGTGTAAGCCGTATCTATACGGCTGCTGATAACTTCGGGCGGCGACGCAGCTGGCGATTGTGATGCACCAATGTTGTCCAGTGCGCGGGGCCACGGTGCCATGACGGCTGTGGTTTCCTGGACACCGAACGTAACCTTGGGTTCGGCGGGATGACTTGTTTTACGTGGGAGGCTTCGGATTCCTCATGATGATATGATCGTGACCACCTAGACGACCCTCGTGCTTGATGTTGGCGGTTGTAAAGTCGGCGATGAAGTTGCGGGTCTGCTTGTATACCCCTCGAATTTTGTCCTTGTTTAACTGCGAGTTTCTGGGAGGTGCTCGTTTCTTGACCCGTCATTCAGCTTCCTTGCAATGCGCAACGCTCGCTTTGATGGCCGTAGATCCCCCTTGTGATCGGCCAGCCTTTTCAAAAGTCGGGTATTCGTAGATCAGTGGGCGAAACTTTGTTTCCGTGGTGCTTTGTTTGCCTCAATGGCCAGGATGGCAGTCGAATATTGAATTGGCTGGGAAATACGAAATTCCTTCTTCTGGTCAGATAGCCAGAGATTATGGGAGAGGATGGATTGGTGGTTATAGGGAAAAGGTAATGGTACGTAAGTCCTATTTTGGTAAGTCTTTAGCCTTCAAAGAGCAGGGTCTGTGGAATATGAGGTCCGTCCTCCGCCTGGTATCGGATTGCCGCTCAGGAAAGGGCGACAGAAGCTTAAAAAGGGACGGACGCAGGCGAGACATTTGACCGCGAATAGGGGAGACGGGGGTCGGAAGCGCTCAAAAAAGCAAGACAGGCTATTAGCGTCGTGATTTGAGGCTTTTGGGCGGATGTCAGCTTGGCCAATGAACAGGCGGCCAAGGGAATAGGCATCCGGTGCGGTGTGGTGGTGTCTGTGTGTTTGTGCGTCGATCGTGTGATTGGGGGCGTGGAGAGCGGTGAGGGCGTCTGTCGAGCGAGCCAGCATACGTCGAGCTTGAGTCTGTCTGACGGCTCGTGGGCGTCGGTGTGTGGCAGAGTACGAGAGAGTTTGGCGGTCGATACTGGTTAGCCGAGGGGGGTAGAGAGTAGGGGGCGTCTGCTACCTATAATCCTCGATGGTTTGGGGCTCGGCGACCTCAGCAGGGGCGAGAGACATGAAAGAGACAAGTCACTTGCTGGTACTCCGTATAGTTGGCGGCACAGGGGTAACAAGCACAGCACAGCGGCTGGGTTGGGTTGGATGGATGGCTGGCTACAGCAGTCTGGGTCTGCTGGACTCATCTCCTCGTTTGGTTCGCCAGGCGCTTGTTGAACAAAAAGCAAAAAAAAAAAAAAAAAAAAAAAAAAAAAAAAAAGTGTGTTTGTTTCCCAAAGGGCGGTTATGCATCTGGGGTGATGGTACCAAAGTGAGGTAAGCAGCGATGTGGGCGGATGGGGGAACAACGAACCGACGATCAGTGATGACGATGTGCATTCACCCATTCCGTGTGATCCCCAGGACAGCCATGACTTTTTCACGATGCGATGCGTATGGTCAGAGAGGTGCCGACAACCTTGAGCTATGCAGCAGACAGCCGAGCAGTATGCAAGTGCCCTGCCCTGCCGGTGGTATTGGCTGAGCTTGCTCATCAGCAGTGCTCTTCGCAGGCCCATGACTAGCTTCAGCGAACCGAGACAAGTGACGAATGGCGGAAACCACAAGCGCCACCTAGCGAGTAGCTTTTGGTTTAACGAGAGTTTCGTTTGCGAATTCGGGCCTGGATGCGGTGAGGCAAGAGGGAGAAGACACCCGGCCAACCGACGCTGCTGTAGCCTGTAGGTATTTTGGCGGAAATCTCGCCCGCCAGCCGCCGTCGGCTAAAGTCACGTCGAGTTGGTAACATTCCAAAACATGAATGTCACTGAGTGGTTGATGGGACGGTGACGGGATGGCCACAACCAGATCTAAGTTGATCCACGGATGCGGAATGGCCGTCGCTGAGCGACTTTGACCCTCGATGCCGTGTGCCCGGGAACGGCATTGGACGCCTGGTAATCTGTGGGTAGAGGTAGAGATGCCGGCATGATGGTGGGGGATGGGGGGCCGTCCACTCCTTGGCTTCGCTATGAAGAGAACAGTCCAGCTGGTGGCCGAGGCGATATTGCTGTGCATGTGCTGGGCCTAAAGGCAGAGTCTGTATGCTTGTTGCATAATAAAGCAACTTGTGCAGAACCAAGCCAGTTTGACCGTAGTGATGGTTGAGCTCGGTAGAGATGTAGAGGCGCAGGAATAGCCAAGATAGGAGCTGTGGCTTTGACGGGTGCGCAAGGACTCTCTAGCGGTGCGTTTCCCGAACTTGCGGTTTGCTAGGTGACGTGGACGGGACGTTGTATTTTCAACCATCCCTTCAGGTTGAAGCCGAAAACGGGCAACGGATGCGCCGATTGGCGTTGTACGGAGGGAATTGGACAGAGGAGCTTCAGGTTCAGACGGGAGGAACCATGAGCGCCTGGTTCGGTAAAGGCCCAGCACTGGTGCTGACGTGTGCAAAGCATGTATCGAAAAGCCCCGAGGGCCGCGGCAACATCATGACAACAACTGAGTGCTCATGACGGATCGTCGAGATGCGCAGTTGCATTGGAAAGGGAAAATGATGTCCCGTCTCAAAACGCAACATAAGGTAAGGTGGTGAGATGGGCTGGACGGGAGGTGCGATGTGGTGGTCACGGATGGAGAGAATGCGCAAGTGGCACGGGATTCTGAAGTGGGATAATTGGTAGGCACGACGGGCACATGGCCGAGGCAAGGAGCACGGGCGGAACAGCTCATGATCGGCAAGAACCAAGCAAACCCAGAAATGAGGCAGGAGCTGGCGCAGTCAATGTACACCGTGTCCGTACCTCACGGGTAGAGCTGAGCTGATCACGACGGGCAGGAGCTGAGGTTGCAGCAACGTGAGCAGGAAGGAGAGACATGGCCTAGGTAGATTCTTGCCTTCCAAGGTGGTTGTTCATAGGTAGGTAGAGCTGCGGGTGCAGGCAGGCGCAGGTCACGGGCACGGGATGCGCTTCCCTTTCCTTTTCCCGTCTGTTCAATCGAAGAGGCACATCAACCGGGCAGAACGTACTTCGTACTTCGTACAGCGTCCTCCGTACAGAATGGAAAGAACGAATAGATATGCGGCAGGTACGAATGGGCACAATCAGGTTAGAAGAGAAATGGGCAATATCTTATGAGGTAGGTGCCTCACCTTACACCAGAGCCGACCCTCAACGCTTTGAACACCAGCCAGACAGGTTCCTCATACACCTGGTAGGCTGGTTCGCATAGCGCTCAGTCTCCCGCCCATCAGTAGCATCTCGGGATCGTATTGGCAATCGGCTTGTCAGACTTTCACCCTGGATACTGAAGTGCTTCACCTGATGATGAAGAAAAACCCAGCTCCGAGGAGACGAGATGTGCCTCCAGTTGCTCCTTGCTTGTTGCACGGGGCAGCCGCTTGCATTGGACGCACTTGCCTACCGTTCTCGGGATTCCCAACCTTCCATGCCCTCCCTCCCTGCCATGATCCGCCGCCATCGCCCGGCATTCTGATTTTCAGTGAGCATCTTAACTACCATTACAATCACCATCACTATTTCTTTTTGCTGCTTTCATTGATACATAATATCATGTACTGAGAATACCACCTCAAGGCTCAGGGAGACAGTAATATGGTCAAGAATAAGAAGCAGAGCCTTATTTCACAGCTCAGCCTTCCTGCCCTGCTCTAGCTCTTGCCCTGTCCTTGTCAAGTTACTTGCCTTAGTCGGCTGGCCCGAGCGTCGCATCCGATGCCCCATGTGAAGCACGAGCCACGGGAAGCAATGGACCCCCTGTTTGTCCAATGAGGGTCAATGACGGACGCTGGTCCGCTTGTTGGAATGACGGGGGTACCTTGGCTACGTACCCCGAGGCACCATACCTTCACTACCTAATGAGTACCTGAAGCCAAGGTACGTTCCTCAGCTTCTGCTCACCGTCTCCGAGCTTCGTCCAAGGGACTGTTGTCTCCCTCTTCCTCACCACCTTGCAGCCAACTAATCAAGTCCGATGTTGGACCCTCAGTAGCCTTTTCAGAATTCCTTCGAGGCATCTGATCTCGCTGATCCGAGTCATTCTGAAGCACTTCACGATCTCCAGGAGCGGTGAAACATCGCCGTTTCCGCACATCGCTGGCAGCAGCAACAACTGACAGAGGACGCCGCCGACAACCATCTGGATCTCTGACGGCAACTTGGTCGGCTTACCTAGCTCAAGCACAACAAATCTAGATATCCGGAGCTTCGATTCAAAGTGCACATATTCATACCTGACATCCTAGCAAGCTGGGTAGGGTATTGACTACCCGTCCACCCCATCCTCGTCGTTGGTATGGCTACCGATCCGAGACGCTAGGCACCATTCCCTGTGTTCCCCTTCTAGGTTCTTGTGTTTTGGCAACAGGTCTACGTCCGTATTTTTTTCTTTTTCGATGGGACAACCGGCACCACATTCCTCCCTCTCCAAACTTTGTAGCCGACAGCGACAAAGACATGACCCCTATTTCCGTCGCCCATTGGATCGAATGAGGGCTGGTTCGTCCTTCCTGCCCATCTCGCAATCTCTTGTGAGTTGCAGATGCAGACGGTCTGCTGAGCCGAGAACACAAGCGCGAGACAGGTCTCGGCGCCATTGGGGGTTATCTGAGTTCTCTTCCCGCTGACACTTCCTCCCTACCTAGGTACGGTACCTACTTTCTCGGAGTGTGCATCCTAACACAATGGGGACGGGACTCGAGAGTCACATGATGGCTTGGCGCTATCGAGATTGAATCTACGAAAATCGCACCATGGGACGGATATGTTCAGCGCCATCTGGATATCGTGCTCCAGTAGAGTCATTACATGCAACGCTACTTGGTATGCTTTCGTCACCCGCACACCATCACCGAAGAAACGCAGAGCCGGGCACCACCCTCGCTCGCGTCGGTCATCCTGCGGACCAACGATCCGAAAAAGCTCTGATCCCGCCCGTTAGCCTTTGCCCTTTTGACCCTCCTGCAGTCGCCTGGTATGTGCCTGGGAATACGAAGACAAGTTAACCCTCTTTTGGCTCTAGGTCCGACTCTTGAAATCCTTTGGACAAAAAAACAAAGCCTTTGATGTCTGTCCTTCAGGTGTCAATTGTCAGTTGCGCAACACGCGTCGTAAAGACGGGGGAACAGGAACAGACACCCCTTATGTGCCGCTCTCCGCCTCCACGCAGCGTCATGGCAGACCTTCGCCCTGACCCTGAGTCTATTCCCAATCCCAATTCAGCCGGTGCCAAATTGGGGCGTCTACCATCACGCAAGCACCTGAACCGGGCTCATTCTTCCCGCAGTCCTTGCTCAAACGGGGTAATTTGGTTGCCCACCGACCCTTGTCTAACGCTGCAATCGCCATCTGCCGAGCATCGCCCAGATCTTGCTGGCCCAACATTCCCATGATTGGCTGTTTGCATCGATTACTCGCACTCGAGCCGTGCCATCCTGGTCGGCGATGTAAAGCTTAACCTTCATTCCGGGACTTGGACCATTGTTGTCGGTGAGCCAGGTCGGGCTGTCCCTGCCAGTCAACCAACACACAACCCGCTCTCAGGCGCACATGTTTGGGCTCTCTTCAGCCAACTTACTGCCCAGCACGAGACTGTTCGTCATTCATGCGCTTCCTAATTATCCATCTCGGCTATCTTTCGACCCCGAGGTCGTGTAAGCCTGCGTAATTGGGGAAACTGTGAAAATCCTACAACCATCCCAGACCTGACCCAAAACATCTGCTTAGTCGATGTGGCGCCAGCCTACTTTGTCCTGGCGCTCCTATCGGTTCTGTGGGGGACCATTCGTCCGAATCCAATGCTGTCATCACGTCGATTACATACGCGGATAATTCCTCTTCCTCTATTTCCATCTTCCCTGGCCGTGCTCGACGCCCCTCCAGGCTTAGCGTTACTAGAGACCGAAACCGATATCCTGCACGGCGAATACGGTTGAGAACGGACAATGTGGGTAGCTCCATTTCGCGGTAGCTTCGAATGCCTCATCCACGTTCGCCGTTCAGCCACTCAGAGAGCAAGCCGGCAAGCATGTCGGGTCTTTGACCTGTTGCAACCTGCAAGCCCTCTGACTTCGTTTGAGAAAGCCGTTACTCTCGCAACCATCCAAACTTTCAGATGACGGCCCTATTCGCACTTTGGAGGGCTTCAGCAGGTCCCCCTACAACACTTGAGCAACCTGAGTTATCCCGTGGTCCCGAGGCGGCTCAACTTTCCGCGTTCAAAATCGGCTCGGAAATGTGCGGCCAAAACTCGAAAACAGTCTGGCTAAAACCCAAGATTATGTGCCGTCTCTGCTCAAGCAGCACATATCCAGGTCTTGGCATTCCGCGCTTTACTTGTGAACCTCATCAAATCCCTTCCGGTCCTTCCGGTCAGCCTCTGAAATATATGTAGACTCAACTTACACAGGCTTTTGCCAACAAGAGGCATTTTCACACGGGCGACTTAGTTAACGTCCATGGTCTTGTCGACTCGGGTATTGCTTACTTCGTACGTAGGTGATCACCGATATTTTCCTAGTCGCAACCCAACCTCGTACAGTGCCGTCATCTACGAGCAGCAAGAAATTTTACGTTGTCGCTTCTTTGAAGGAGGCAGAAATCTGATCTTGAAAGATTCGTTAAACATTCCTCAAGGGGCAATGTTGATACAACATTTGTAGGACGAGATGCCTCTCTGCCGTCAAAGAGTATTTGGCGCGAACGTTGTTTGTTCTTGGCATGGATACGGTTACGTACAATGACCAGTCGCGCGCCTATCGTTACCCGCGTTTTATCAGACGAACTTCAACTCGCCACCCTCATTTGCCGAGTCGAAACTATGCATCCAATACTACCCGGGACATCTATCGTTTCACGAAGGAACCCGCACTCAAACCATCTTATAACTGGGCTCATTGCGGAGGAGCTATGGCAACGCCATGGCCACACTCATGACCACGGAGATCATCAGATGACCGGTCACTGCCTCTTTTGCCTTTTCGGTCATTGTTATGCCCCCCACGGAGAAATCTAATGAGTTCTGGGATGGCCCTCTGGGAACAACGCCTTTTGCGAACGGCTTCCGGAAATCTAGGCTTGGGCCAACCCAGCCCTATGAATGGAGACCTTGAAAGAACAGGGAAATCCCTGTGTCCATGTCTGCTTATGAGGACAGAATGAGTCACAGACCTGTCGTTCGTGATGTCACCTCTTGTCGCAGCTACGTCCGTTACCCGAATTAACCGAGGCCGGAGGGCACGTCCGACGGAGTCGAGTCCGAACGGGAAAATAATCTTTGATACCTGTTGCACGGTGGCTAACAAAATGCCGAGCCGTATTTCATTTCCCACGGGACATATTGAGCTCGGCATCGCTTATGTATGCAATTGGCCTTATTTGCGAACTTGGGTCTCATTGTTCGGCATTATTCACATGTTCCTTTACAACGATGTAATTGTTCTGGCAAAGGGAGACCAATCTGAGGTTTCAACCTAGTATGCTCTGTGTGATGCTGTGTCTATGGGAATAGCTCTATGAAATGTGTAAAGATATCAAGAATTAGTGTAAGGTAATGAAAATCAGAAACTTCGTAATGCCAATGATGTATGAGCCCGCTTGCTCATGGAGCGAAGATGAAAGCACCATTTGCTTCCATCAGCAAATGCCGGTCAAGTAATCATGTAACCTGCCCTTGTAGTGACCCCCTTCATTACTAGTGCCCCAGACGCAATCTCGAATCAGAGCATCTCTGCTTCGTTGTCTTCCCGTCTGATGGCCGCAAGACCCATCTGGACCAGCTCATTGTATCTCTCCGGTGCTGTCGACTTGATCAGCTCCAATTCGCTACAGAGTTCGGTGCTGTGGGCGTCATCCTGGAGGATGCGAGCGATTTCCTCCGACTTCTCTTCCTGCATATCAATAATGCGGTTATCAATGGTGTTCTCGGCCTTGATGACGACCGACGAGGCGACTTGCGTTTGGCCGATGCGGTGGACCCGGCCGTCGGCTTGCTGTTCGACTGACGCATTCCACCAGGCGTCTACGCGGATGATTTTGCTCGCACAAGTAAGATTGAGTCCTTGACCGCCGGTCTTGACGGATGAAATCTGAAAATGGTAATCATGTTAGTATTCACTTTTTATTCTAAGAACTCTAGAGGGCTTACCAAGACTTTGATGTCTTTGTTGTCACGAAAGGCATCAATGGCTTTGTTCTTCTGCGTCGGAGTCACTTTTCCGTTGAGATACACGAACGGGATACCAAGAGCGTTCAGTGTTATACCCAAAACCACGGCCGTCTTGGTGAACTCGTGGAAGACTGCCAATATGTTAGCCTGCCGAAACTGGTAATCGGAGAGGGCTTACTTGGGGGTAGCTTACCTATAGTTTTGGGACTCTGAGTCTCGTGTCTCTTCCGCGTCTTGTCGGTCTCATCCCAGACCTGGATTCTCTCGTCCTGGTACTGCATGATCAGCTTCTTGGTTGCCTCGAGCTTCGCGCCCAGGGGCACAATGCCGCCGTTCTCTCGCATGCCTTGTTTGATGAAGGCATAGTCATCAACATCAAGTGCCGGGAGCACGCCGTGGTAATCAGCCCCGTACTTTTTGTTGCTGAATGCCTTTACTTGCTTGTCCTTCGCGGCCCGCGAAGACTTGGCTGCCATCTTCTTCTTCGATCCTCTTCCAGAACCCGGGGTCTGACTTGACAGTGAAGCATGAGTCGCGGCCTCGGTCTCGACCAGTCTGTCACACTCCGCTTCCATGCTACCGAGCGTGAAGACTCTCGTGACATCGGTCTCCTTCTCGTAGACGACTTTGCAACCCTTCTCTTGACAAGTGCCCTCTTGCGCTTTGAATTGCCAAGTGCTCAGAAGGCAATTACGGCAGAAAACGTGACTGCACTGGAAAGAAAATTCTGTTAGAGAATCCGATTTGGCATGTCGGGAGCCAACAGTAGTGTTACTACTCACTGTGTTAATGATTTGTGGCTCTTCAATGCTGTCTGTTCCACAGATGCCACATTTGCATGCGCTCATCAAGGCCTCATTGTTTGCATAGCGCAGAAGCTGTGGTAAGGAGAGGTTTTCTCCCATGGGTAAGCCACCTTTTGTCGGGGGGTCATTGGTGGGTCGCGCACTGAGACCATCGAAGATGAATCTCAGTAGCTCAGGGTCTAGGTCATTTCTGAAGGCCTTTTCGATGCCATAGGGGTGGGAAATAATCTGCATCTGACGAATGTTCAGTGCGCTCATGGCCTTGGTCTCGGCCTCAGCCTTGGCCTTGGTCTTCGCCTCAGCCTTGGCCTTGGTCTTCGCCTCAGCCTTGGCCTTGGTCTCGGCCTCAGCCTTGGCCTTGCCGTACGCCTCCGTCATAAGACTGCTTAATGTATCAGATATGATAAACTAAGACTTGTGATCCAACTTACTCGTAGGCCAGCCTCTCTTGCTCAGATAACTTGACCCATTTGACTTCAGATTTGAAGGGCATCAAGTTCTTGAGAATCTTTTCGCCGAGAAATTCGTCTTGTTTGGTCCTATGAATGTTACAAGCTGGTATTATGTCGCAAGAGATGTATCACATTACTCACCGTCTGTACGTGCAAACATTGATAAGGGCGTCAAGTGCAGTTGAGTTGTCCTATGAGGTAGCACCGAGCGTTAGTATGATTGCGTGATAAGCCAAGGACAGGCATTGCGATAACTCACCTCTCCCAGATATTTCTCTCGAAAATCTTCACGAGTGTCCATACCCTCAACTCCGAGCGTCTTGACATAGGCAAACATCTCTGCACCAAGTGTCAGCAGAATCATCTATGGCTAATTCAGAGGCGGTTGAGTCATACCGTCTCCTCCTTTGTTGATCAAAGGTGTAGCGCTGAGAAGCCATATGTACTTCCTCACTAGATGATTGCAAGCTTGGAAGGCTGTGTGTTACGTCATAAGTATGGATATCGGATATCTGTAATTAATGGGAGGTGAGGCTTACTTTTGGTGGCTGTGTTTTTGATTTCATGGGCTTCGTCAAGTACGACTCTGTACCACATCACTGAGAAAATTTCGCCAGCTACAGCTCTGAAAGCCGTGTGGTAATCGAAATCTTTATCAGCTTCGAGGTCTTCCTGGAGCTGATTCATGGTCGCTGCAGTAGGAAGGCTTTGCAACACCTCCCTGTAAGTCGTGAAACTAGTAGTGAAGAAGCCTTAGCGAGAAGTCAATAGCGTAGGGAAATATCGACTTACACGATCTTGTAACGCGAAATATCGCCACCAGAGGTTGCGTGAATGCGGCGTTTGTAATAGTAAGCCTCTTTAGGACTAATGCATTCCACATGTTTGGATAGTTCTTGCTGCCATTGTCTGGCAGTGGTCTCTCCAGGCAGAATGACAAGCGTCGCTCCAGAGAAGCCGTCCGAGGGGATTTCAGGGGGAGGATTACCCACGATTCCGGCCAGGCACACCACGGTCTTCCCCATTCCCATGTCGTCGGCCAGGACACCGCCATAAGGTGGCGCGAGACCATTTTCTCTCTTCACCATCCAAGCAACAGGGCCGACTTGGTACTCATTAAGGTTTGTGGTCTTGGCCATGCCTTTAAGGCGGTATCGTCTTTCTTCGCCAACTACGAGGGACTCGATCTTGCCATGTCCGAAGACCTTGATGCCCTCCGTGAGGTCTGCCGCCTGAGTCCCGCTTCGTCTATTGTTACTGCCGGTATTCTTCTTCTGGACGATCTCCTTCTGCCTCTGTGCATTTGTGACTTTCTTCATTTCGCCTAGAGGGATTGGAATGAAAGCACTCTCAGAATTGTCTGGAGATGTTTTAGGGGCGGGGTTGTGGTCAGTTGACTGATCTGTGTTTGCGTTGATCTCTCGTGCCCGTCTTTGCCTCTTGGCCTTGGGAGGCACGATGTCTAAAGCTTCGTGACTGATCGGCCTCTTCTTGGCGAGTTCCTTTCGTATCTGTTTCTCAAGGCTTCTCAGAATATTCTTGTTCACCACCTCCCTGACGTACTCCCTGGCATTCTTTCGTCTTGGGGCCCTCTTCCTTTGCTGGGATTTGGAGTTCGCAGTCGGCTCCAGCGTGACTTGATGACCCTCTTCTCTCATCTCCGATTCAGAGCCATCATCAGAGTACCCGCCATCGCTAAGCGACTGGGAGTCTGATTCGCTGTCTGAATCTGGTGCATCGAGTATGTTTTTGTCCATGTATCCCTCTTGTTCCACGAATAGATCTTCGCAATGCTGATCAGAGGCTGTGGTAGTGTGTGATGCCGGAGAAGTTTCTCTATCTGTTTCTGCAATCGCCCAATAACTCTCTTCAGAAGGATCCATGATGGGTTATGCAGAACTTTCTGAGACCCTTGAGTAAAGAGATGCACTCCCTGTGCAATTGTGTGACAGGGTTATCGACGGAAAATTAAGAGAGTGTTGTTGGAGTGCAGAGGAGAAAAGCGTAGCTAATAGAATAATTCCCCGTTGAGCTCAGGGATAGAGAGAAGGAATAAGATGCTTCGTGATGAGTCGGTGTAGTTGGGTCGAGTAACAATTGCTTGAGCTCAACAACTCGAAAGCTTGAAGCAAACTTGGTGGAGTTGGAAGTAGATGTGAGTAGATCAGGTAAGACATGAAATGATTTGAACTGATCATGAAAGGGTTCAGAATGTGAGATCGATGAGTTGGTGTGAAGAAGGGAAGTGAGAGGCAAGGTTGGGTGGTGAAGATGAGTACATTATATAGACTTGGGAGGATCGAGAGGCTGGCAGCAGATCAGCCTGGCATCAGGAAAGAGCTCAGGACCTACTGAAGGAAGGAAGTGGCTCTTTTCACGTGAATATCTTTCCTGGGGAAAGAGGCGATGCCATAAAACCGACCCCTATTTCCAAATTTGGGAATAACCTCAAGATGCTGAGCCACTTACCTCGGTGTCTCGGTGAGGGACATGGTTTCGGTGAGTCTCACCGAGGCCCTCTCACCGCCCTAGGGGCAGAATGTATGCCCCACTAAATTTTCATCGACCCCACGCCCCAATGGCATTTCTCAAAGCACTTGCGACAGCAAATTTAAGTCGTTTTCACCAGCAATTCAACACCGCCGCCATGTCTTCAAAATCCGGCAAGAACGGCAAGGTCGCCGACTCTCGTTTTTCAAACTTCGAGACTGATCCTCGGTTCCGACTTCCGTCGAAGAAGCACACCAAAACCAAGATCGACAAGCGATTCGCACATGCACTAAAGGACGAATCCTTCACATCCGGCCCAAAAGTTGACCGATACGGCCGCAAAGTCAAGTCCGATAACAAGAAGAAGGCGCTGAAGAACCTATACGAGGCGGAGGACGACGATGAAGACTCGGACGAGGGCGAGGGCATCGAGGTCGAGGGCGAGGGCATCGAGGTCGAGAACGACGACGTTGTCCAGCGCGAGCTGGCAAAGGCGGATGCCAAGTACGACCCTGCTCGCGGTGGCGGCTTCTCTGAGTCCGAGTCCGAGTCTGAATCTGAAGATGACGAGCCCGACGAGGAAGAGACGGCTGTCGCTGACCCCAAGGCTTCCGTGTCGCGCCTGCGCGACGAAGAGGCGCAGGTCGAGGAGGGCGAGGTCACGAACCGGATAGCGATCGTCAATCTGGACTGGGACAATATCAAGTCGGCCGATCTGTTTGCTCTTTTCCACAGCTTCCTGCCTTCAACTGGCGGGCGCATTGAAAAGGTTGCAGTCTACCCAAGCGAATTCGGCAAGGAGCGCATGCAGCGCGAGGAGCTGGAGGGACCCCCGAAGGACATCTTCAAGAAGGATGATTCTGAAGAGGAGAGTGAGGATAGCGAGGAGGAAGACGAGGCGATCAAGAAAGAGCTCTTGGAGGAGGGCGACGCCGACGACTTCGACCACGACGCCCTGCGCAAATACCAGCTGGATCGGCTGCGGTACTTCTACGCCGTCATGACCGTCTCTGACAAGGCGACGGCGCAGAAGCTCTACGAGGCGACCGACGGCACGGAATACGCGTCTTCATCAAACTTCCTCGACTTGCGATTTGTACCGGACGATACCACATTCGATGACGAGCCTAGGGACGAGTGCGACAAGTTACCTGAGGGATACAAGCCTGTCGAGTTCACTACGGATGCCCTGCAGCACTCCAAGGTCAAGCTCACTTGGGACGTCAACCCCGACGACGCCGCCCGCAAGGCTTCCATCAACCGTGCCTTCACCGGAAGTCGTTCGCAGATTGAGGAGAACGACCTGAAGGCCTACCTGGCCAGCGACAGCGAAGACTCTGGCGAGGAGTTTGCGGGCTTCGACGATGAGGAGGAGGCCGAGGATGAGGAGGAAGCGGCCGAGAAGCCCAAGCTGTCCAAGAAGGAGCTCGCTCGTCAAAAGATGCGAGAAGCTCTTGGCCTTGGTGCCGAGGAGGAGAAGAAGTCATCCAAGAACGCCCCCGTCGGTGAGATGGAGATCACTTTCACGCCCGCTCTGACGGAGAGCAAGAAGAACAAGAAGCCCGAGGAGGAGGAGACGACGATTGAAAAGTACCAGCGCAAGGAACGCGAGCGCAAGGAGGCCAAGCGTATTGCCGCCCGCGCCAGACGCGAGGGCAAGACCGGCGCCCCCGTCGCCGAGGAGGCCGAGGAGGTCGAGGCTGCGGACGACAGCGCGGAGGACCTCGGCTTCGACGACCCCTTCTTCACGACCGACGAGCCGGTCAAGACCAAGACTTCGGTCCGCAAGGAGGAGCGACTCGCGAAGCGCGCGGCGCGCGAGGCGGAGGAGAAGGAGAAGTCGGAGCACAAGAAGCAGCTGGAGCTCCTGATGGCGGACGACAACGCGGATGCGGCGGAGCACCTGGATCACTTTGATATGAATGAGATTATGAAGGCGGAGAAGGCTAAGAAGAAGAAGGGCAAGGCTGCGAAGCGGTTGGCCAAGAAGGCGGCTGCCGACGGCGAGAAGCTCGGTCTGCAGGAGGACTTCAAGATGGATGTCGGCGATGACCGTTTCAAGGCCGTCTTTGATAGCCACGAGTACGCTATTGACCCCAGCAACCCCAAATTCAAGGGTACCGAGGCGATGCAGAAATTGTTGGAGGAGGGCCGCAAGAAGAGAAAAGCTGGTGGGGACGTGGAGGATGTGCCTGTGGAGAGGGAAGGCAAGAAGGCCAAGAAGGCCAAGAAGGTCGGCGGCGGTGACGATGAGGAGGAGCTGAGCAGGCTTGTTGCGTCGGTGAAGAAGAAGGCGGCGAGCAAGGCTGGCAAGAGATGATTGCGGGGATTTTCTTTGTTCTCGCGCATTGGTGTTTGATTCGAGGCGTGTTTGTGGTCATACCCTAGAATAGAGGTCATACAAAAGTTATTGCAATGTACAAAGCACATGTTCATAATGATGGGTATCAAGGAATGTGCGACAAGACGGTTGATTTCTTGATTTTGTGATGCTGATGTATGACTTGCTTTCTTGGGTATCTCACGCTTGTGGAAAGAACCATCTAACACCCCTTGAGCCACACTTGTCATGTTTCGAAGATGCTCGGCCCAGTATTGTTTGGCTGATGATTCCGCCCTCATCCTCCTTGGGTTCATGTTCCCGAGTTCGCTGTCCCATTCTGCTGGTCTCTTCATGATACCCCAGTACACTCGTAGCTCAAGAGCCAAAGAAGGCGCGGACGGCAAATTTGACGAGGCGAGGCGTGCCAATCTTGCAAGAGATGAGAAAGTTGTCAAGTGTAGGTTTTGGGCGAGCTCGCGTGGCAGCAGATGCTGCCGTCTGGCCTTGGGCATCTTCGTCGTCGTTGGACATAGGGAGGCCGGTGTAGGGATCCCACTCCATGTCCTCCTCGTAGATGGAGCCGAGCATGCTTGCGATCCAGACGAGGTTGGCGAGTATGAGAGTAAGAAGGACGCCTCTCAGGGTGGCTTCGTTGTGTGAGTAAGTGGGAGGCATATTCTGTTTGGGGTGTGGTTATGGGGGCTGAATTATATCCCGGTACAAGTCGAATGTTTGAGTTTGAAGAGTTGAAGAATTGAGATGCATGCGACCAAGGTCGGCAAGGAAGGAGCGGGAAGGAGCCAGAAAGAAGAGAGGTTTCTTGATGTGGCCTGTGACGAATACCTCAGGTCTTTATGTAGTCAGCCGGCAGATTCAATAGGAGGGCTAGGGATCATAGTACTTAGGCAGCGTCACATGGCAAACGGCGTAGGTGGACAGGCTGCATAGATGCTGAGAGAATTACATAGGTGCATCATGGAATCTTATTCTATTTTAGATGATTCAGCAGAACATGGCTGCGAGGACTTTTATTTATCATAAGTTGAACAACAATGAAAGAAATTTACCGGACAACGGCATCCTTCAAGCTGGGAACAGTGCAAAGACCGCCAGACTTGGTCTTGAGCTTGCCAAGACCCTGCTTTCCAAGCGCTTCAACGACACCAGCATCAAAGGCAACCGCCAAGTCGTCGGTGGTGGTGAAGCCGGGTTGGAAGGTCTCCCAGATCTTCTTCTTGGGGTTCAGGACACCTTCGGGTTCACCTTCCCAGCCCTCAAAGTTGATACGCTCACCTGCCTTGGCATCGGCGGGGGGAGTGACGAGCTCGACAGGCCCCTTGTGGTCGTCGACCTCGCCCTCCTTAAGCTTGGGGGAAGCGGCCAGAACCATGGCGCAGGACTTGATGCCGCGCATCTTGACGGGCTTGAGGTTGCAGACGACGACGACCTTGCGGCCCTGCATGGACTCGAGGGGCACGAGACCGTTGAGGCCGGAGCAGACGGTGCGGCAGACCTGGCCCTCGTACTCGGTGGTGTCATCGTTGGGCTCATCGCCGACGGCAATGGTGGAGACGTAGAGGGAGTCGGCCTCGGGGTGCTTGATGGCCTTGAGGATGTGGCCGACACGGAGATCGATGAGGGCAGGGGAGAGAGGGGCGGCAGCGGGAGCAGCCTTCTGGGGCTTGGGAGCCTTGGCCTTCTTCTCCTTCTTGGGCTGGCCCTCGCCGGCACCGACAGCGGCCTTGACCTTGTCCTTAGCCTCGGTGACAACCTCCTTGACCTTCTCGCCAGCGCTCTTATCCTTCTTAGGCTCCTTAGTACGGTCGGGAAGGGCCTTGTCACCAGCAGCAGCACCACCAGCGGCGGCGGCAGCGGCCTTCTCCTTCTTGAGACGCTCCTTCTCGGCCTTGGCGTCGACGGGGGGCTTCACGTAGAGGACCTCGTCGAGGTCAACCTTGACCTTATCGTCGGCCTTGACATCGGCGGCGAAGGCGGGGAAGTTCTGAACGAAGTCGAGGTGGCGGACGATGTTGGGGTAGCCCTTCTCGCCGGTGCGCTGCTCGGGGGACCAGGAGGCGACGAGGGGACGGACGGCGGAGTAGAGAGCGGTGTCGGCCTTGCTGGGCTTGGTGCCAAGAAGGGTGGTGCGGGTGCTCAGGTGGGAGTTGAGGGTATCGAGAATAGGAGAGGCCTCGTCGGGCTTAGACTGCTGGAGACGAGTGGCAGTGGTGAGCCATTGCTGGATCTCGGTCTCCTCGTTGGGAGTGTAGGTGGTGTTGGAGGCCATTCTTGCGAATCGGAACGGGGAGATGCTGCGTGAGCTGGGTCGGATAGCGCGTAGTGAAGAAAGCATCAGGTGTGAGTGTGAGGTGGAATTTTTACCTTTGTGGCTCTGCGGGGTAGGTGGCAGCAACGGTGTGGTGGGAGGATTGCCCCTCCACGCCGTTGACCTCGATTTAATGCCTCAGGCTCAAGCGCTCGGTGACCGGTGAGAGCTGACCGAGACGACTCTTCGGTGTGCACAGGTAAGCGTCCTCTGTCAAGACCGTTCCACCAAGGTACCTTAATTGAGACTGATAATGTTCTATTGAGAGAACTGTGCTCTTTATAGCTCTGTATAAGGTATTCCGTGATTTCACTCTCATCTTCGGCCTATTCTCCCCGCCTGGCTGCAATATGCAAGCCTTCGTCGAGAATTGAGCATGGCTACTCGATACTCAGCATTGTCAGCTGCTTGCATTAACTTATGCAGGAAGAGAAATGTGCAAGACAAGGGTCTAAATTGCATCGCTGGGACCCCGATCTCCTTCCGATCCCCGACTGACTTCATGACGACGGTTGCCTGAAAGAAAAAGAGAGAAAAAGGAAAGAAGAACCGGAGCTTTGATTGAAAGCAACACGAGATCACGTGCTAGCGCCTTCTCTTCGCGTCGCGCCCCTGCCATTTCCCCTGTCGCTCCGCGATCGCGCGCCCTTTGGCAGCTGAAGCCCGGTCGTTCCTGCTTCCTATTTCCCCTTGCCACCACGCCCTCACGCAATCATCTCAGGAACCTCACTTATTTTTTCTACTGGAAGGAATCTTCACCCTGGATTTCATTGCACTATACTGCCAGCTTCCTTTTCTAACATCTTTCTTAACATCAATCTCACTTTTTCGATTTTTTCGAGCCTTGGCGGCACAGACCTTAATTGCCAAATTTAGCGTCTCCCCTTGCATCATCGATTTGGAACACCTTTTTCTCTCCCGGATTCCATCACCACTGACGGAGTATCCCCACTCGCTCACAACACAAAGCAGAGGACGAGACCGAGGCCTTTGAGGAGTCATTAGCCTTCAGAAAAGTCAAGA